TTCATGTGATTTATTATAATAAATAAATGTATATGACCGATGTTTTGATTCTCATTTTTTTTGTCCCACACTGTATATCTAGATAATATGAGAAATTATAAATTTTATTATTATTAAATAATAGATATATAATAAAAAAATGTATAAAAATATAAAAATATAAAAATATATATAATATGTTGTGATTTACTTGAGAATGATTTCAAATGCTTTAGATGAAATATTTGGTATAATAATAATTTTAATATTATTTTTATTAACAGTGGTATTCGTTAATATATTCTTAAAATGGGGTGATCGATAACGTAAGACGGTTGAATGCGCGGTAAAGGATTTCTTATTTGTTTGTTTATCAACTTCAATAATGACATTATATTCGTCTTTGTCATCAATAAGTTCAGTGAAATCTTGGGATAATTTTTCAAGATATTTAAAAGACATTTTTTTTCAAAGGTTGTTCTAACTTGAATGAGATGAGGTATAACAATCAAGTCACACCAATTTAAACCTACTTTTAATATTTTTAAAACAATAGATGATCGTTTTTATTTATTAATTGTATTAATATAGGTAATGTAAAAATAAACTAAATACAGTATATACAACAATGCGAGAAGTCTATAACCAGATCAACTTTAAGACTTATGACACAAACCTAAAATAGAATAGATAATGATTTGCTCTCAGAATTATCGGTTTTTAATCTTATTGGCTAAAAATCATAGGTAAATTGCTTCAAAATTGGGAAATATAATATATTAACAGTTAAATATATTAGATTCAAAAAAATTTTTGAACAGTTTTTATTGGTCAAATTTAAGAAAATCTTTAATAATTATCGTGAAAAATTATGATTCTTGTATAAAAATAATAAAAGCGAGCGTACGTAATAGTGAATGATTTACTCTGCTAAGAATGGAATTTTGAACTAAATGGAAATTTTGAAAAAAATGTGTTATCCCTTGGAGGTAATGTGGGAACTAAAACAGTTCTTGCAGGCAAAATTTTTGATTTAATTGGTCGATCTGGAAGCAAAAGATATTGTATTAAATCATTCCAAAGTTGTTCATCAAGAATTGTCATATAAGGTTTAACTTTGTCCATAACATCTGCGTTTGAGATGTGAAAATAACGAATATGTGGTAAGCATTGTTGTAAGGTGATTTTTAAAGTCAAAAAGTTTTCATTGGTCCATTCTTCCAATTCCACGGGCAAATCAGGATTTTTAGCGATTCCCCACTTGATTACATAATCCCAAATCTCAGATTCTTCCATTTGTAGGTCATCAAGTTTTAAAATTGATGCCAATGCTAATTCTGGAAGAGATGTAAACTCTTTAGATTCAAAAATAAGATTTGGATACTTTACGACAATATTATTACAGAACTTTTCCAAATTTTTAAACTCGTTAATTTTAAAAATTGATTGATAAACAAAAGAAAAATGAGCCTTTAACCATGAAGATTTAGCATCAATAAGGTGACTTTCTATTTCTTTTGAAAGTTCTACGAATTCCAATTCTTTAGCAGCAGTCATTAATTCGTAAATTATTTTGGTATCTACATTTTCCACATTAACAATTCCACCATAAATATATCTAGATAATAAAATTATAAAATTTTATTATTATTTAAATAATAGATATGTAATAAAATATATATAATATATTGTAACTTACTTGAGAATAATTTCAAATACTTGGAAAGAAATATTTGGTATAATAATTATTTTAATATTATTTTCATTTACAGTGGTATTCGTTAATAAATTCTTAAAATAGGATGATCGATAACGTAAGACGGTTGAGTGTGCAGTGAAGGATTTCTTATTTTTTTGTTTGTCAACTTCAATAATGACATTATATTCATCTTTATCATCAAGAAGTTCAGTAAAATCTTGAGATAATTTTTCAAAAAATTTAAAAGACATTTTTTAAGTCGATATTTATAAATTTATGTGCAACAATAATATTTATAAAGTATAGTAGTACAGGGCTGAATACGAACAATAAATATATGTTGTACATTCTCGCGACTGAGGTGTCAACCATTCCTAACCCCTACTTTGGCCAGTTTTAATCTGAGTCAAGAATCGATCTGAGGTACAACATATATACAATAATGATGTCGCCATCTTTATCAACAACAGTCAGACCTGGCTATAAATCACACCCTGACCATCAATTTGGTAATTATAGAAAGGTTGCGACTATTAATAACTGGGACTTTAAAAATATGTGATTATAAAAAGGTTGTGATTATAAAAGATGTGATTATAGCCAGGTCTTATATTAAAAAAACGAGATACAGTCTGGTGCAAAAGTCTTTGGACGAAAATCATTAAAATTAAAAGTTACACAAGTCTCTAATTTTAACTATTACAGGTCATGTGTAGTAATTCTGTAACTAAAACAGATCTTGCTGGTAAAATCATTGATTTAACTGGTTGATCAGGAGATAACAAATGTTGATTGATTTCATCCCAAAGTAATTCATCAAGAATCTTTTTGTAAGGTTTGATTAAGTCTATGACTTCATCAGCTGAAATATGAAAGTAACGAATATATGGTAGACATTGTTGCAGTGTAAGAAAATTTTCCTGGGTAAATTCATCAAGATTAGTCAGAAGGCCAGGATTTTGAGCAATTACCCATTTGATTACATAATCCCAAATTATAACTTCTTTCATTTTCAAATCATCTCTCTCTTGTAAGTACAGATTCTGGGAGAGAAGTAAAGTCATCTGCGTCGAAAATAAGATTTGAATATTTGACAACAATATTATTACATTTATCTTATTTACTACTTTTAAAAATGTATCCGTACTAATGTAATTCAGGATGTGATAAAGAGGATGACGAAGGCAACTAATTTTTGCATCACAGCTTAGAAGTTATAAACTTTAAAATTAATTTGCCTTTGAAGAGAGATAGGAAGTATAATTATACCTCAGACAAAAAAAATCATTGAAACCAACAAGTAAATGATCGAAGACTGTCCGCGTAATAGCCTTCGAAAAGAGGTAGGAAGTATAATTATACCTCAGATAAAAAAAAATCATTAGACTAAACCGTCCGCGTAAAATACACCCTTTCACGAAAAATCCTTTAAACAAAAAATAAATAAATAATTCAAATGTTATCAAATCCTACAAACGAAAATCTCAATCTATATATCATTTTATAAATATATATATATGTAAATTTTGATGCATTTTTTGATTTGTCTTTATAAAAAAAACTACAAGGAATTCCTCACTTTGGACATTTAAAAAAACACTATTGTGTGTGTCTCATATTTATTTATAACGATAAGTAAACGTGTTTTCTAAAATTTATTTTACGAAGTTATTCATATATCACCAGTGTTTGAAATTCGAATCTTAAATCCTGTGCGGAATATACACAATTTAGAATTCTATATGTTTTTTATATGCGGAGTTTTCAAATTCTGTGCTAGCGCACATTCCGCGCATTGAATTTCAAACACGTATCTAAACTGTTACATCATATAATCAAAATTTATTGTACAACTTCACTATTGACAATGAGCTTAACCTTATTAGCTCTGCTAATAAATGAAATGTATGCAGGCAGAAACGCTTAAAAGATATACTTCTCTGCAATTTTGGTCATGTGATCTTAATCACTAATTATAATTTTACGACGGTTAAATTTATCCTATACCTGAAGTCTACACTTCTTAACCTAATCACAATTGTATTTATCACACCCTTTTGACTATAAAATTGTTTTGCGATCATCATCAGCCAATCTGCATTTACTAATAATTTTGCTCACTTGTAGTGAATTAGCAGCCCGAATCTAAGTCTTTTTTTTTTATTAATATTATTAATACACAAGGTACAAGGTTCTTAATGCAGCTAATCTTAATCTGTTTTCCATTCTACACTCTGGAATAATTTTCTATACTAGCTTCACACTAGTAAAAATCATCTACTCATTATTTAAGGCACCTTTTACCATCAAGTTCACCGCATAGATAGTATTATCCGTGAACATGATTAATAAATTTCTAACAAAGACAAGATTAGACACTGTATGTGATTGTGGCATAACAATTTTACCCAATAAAGTTCCAGAATTATTAAACACATGAACACCATCACCAGCTCCAACGTATACATTACCATTAACGTCAAGTTTTATACCATCAGGAATGCCAACATCAACTACTGCAAATACCCGACGATTAAATAAGATTTTACCACTCACATCAAACGCATAAATTGTATGTGGTTTCATAACATCCTGCTCGCCCATGCCATTAAAGAATCCTGTATCAGTTATGTACAATATCTTCTCATCTGGAGAAAAAGCAATCCCATTGGGTTTTACGAAACCGTCAGCTACCACACGAATATTTCCGGTAGAAGGGTCAAAACAGTAAACAAATTCTCCAAGTTGTGGTGCATTCCGAAATTTTTGTTCATAGCCATAGCTTGGATCCGTAAACCAATAGCAACCATCACTCGAGACTACAATATCGTTTGGGCTATTGAATTTGAGACCGAAAAAATTATCGATTATAGTGGTAACTTCATTAGAAATAGGATCGAGAGAAACGATAGATCCACCAATATCTCCTTGACCCTGGGAGCAAATAATAATTCTTCCATCGTGATATGTACCGCCGTTAGCGAGGAGGATTGGTTTTTTTGGTTCTACAGTGGACCACTCTCTGGTTGAGAGATTAATTTTATTAATTTCTGTGTACTGATTATCTGTAGTGGTATCACCAAGACGATTGGAAGTGAAAAAGACCTCGTTCGATTTCATCACATATACCCCAGCTTCGTGGGCGAATGGATATTGAGCAGTAGCAAGTACTTCTAACTTTGGATTCGGTCCAATGATATCATCAAAAGTTTGATCATAGGTAACAAATGTTGTATTCTCTAATTGTTTGAAGAATTCGGATGCTTTAGGATTATCATTAACTTGTGTATTTGAGTATGGTTCAAGGATGGGGCGGTTGAAATTGCTTCCAAGGACTGAGAGGTGAAAAGTATTAGTGGACATGGTTCCTATTCAAAATAGACCTATAGGTTCAATCGTTTCAAAATATGAGAGAAATATGGATTTGGAATGACTTAAAAGAAGGAAAGATAAAAACAATTCAGTGGGAAAAACACATCCTCAAACATGTCCCAAGGTCACAAGGTTTATATATAATATATATGACGTCACCTAAAAACTGAAACATGTAATTAGTCCCATTTCCGGATTTGGTCATTACTTTTTATTCGCCGAGAGAAAATTATAGAAAACGTGATCACATAATTAACCAATCGAAATTGGGAATAAGTAATTATTTTTTTTAAAAATAGTAAATTAACTTAGCTTCAAAATCTTGGCTTCCTTTTTTTTGATATTACCTCTGTATCAGGTTCTATAACATTTTAAAAATTATCTTTATTACAGTCTCCCTGTATTATATTCTGCAAAATGATTGTCGCATAAAAATACAGATATACCTTTTTTAGTATGTAAATAAATACTGGATAAAATAAATCAAGCGAATTTTCTCTATCGAAACCTTAGCTGATATGTGGAACAATTGCTTTTATGCGAGGCGTCATCAAAATTCTGGGGATTATCAAAAAGGTAAAAACATTTAACGCTGATGATATTTCAAATCCGGGGATTTTTCCCGTATTAATGCAATAAAGCTGACTTGTTTTTTCCATATTGCTACATTCATTCTAACCCTAATAAGATCTGAAAAATTATCAATAAATTAATCTGAGCTTTGAATTCTAACAACGAGTATAAAAATATTTTCATTCCCATTTTTTTTAAGGTAATACGCGATGTAAAATCTATTTACAATCGTCAATGAAAATGATAATCTGTATATCTCATAAGTTATCTTGTTCATTTGTCGACCAAGTACACCGTGTATAGCATGTAACCGACGGATGTGCAGTAATAATCTTTGTAAAAAATGAAAATGACGCGTTTTTGTTAAACATGATATGTTTCAATTAGAGATATTACTGTGATCAACAGAATGCTAACTCAAGACAAGATTTAAGAATTAATTCATATTGAATTTATGGATATCACAAAACTCGTGGAACAATTTATTTGACTTAAATTGGCAAGTATATTTTTAATAATAAGTGTATAGATTAATTAAGTCGTGATCCGTCATTACTGTTTATATTTTATATATTTAAGTTCAAATCTATAGCTGCTACAAAGAAAAATATTTTTTTCGCCAAGTTGATTGATAATTTTTTTTTTTTTGCCAAATCATGTTCTTGTACATTTTATCTAACTTATCACATGAATTGATAAATCTGTGATACTAATTTTGTAATATTTTCCTACTTGAAACTTGAAGCATAAAAAATGGGTTATATATGATTTACATTGAATATAATTTAGTGCCGATCTCTCGCAGATCAGGATTTAAAGATTTATGTATTCAAAAGTGAGATATTAATCAATCAGAATCTATTGAATATATAATCTATTCAGAATTAAATCAAAAATTAAATTAAATAGATAAATTAAATTAAATTAAGATTAATTAAATTGAATTGCTTAAAAGTTCAGAGAAATTTCCAAGACTTGAAACATAATAATCAGGAACAATTGAAGCATCTTTGACTAAAATTTCTTGTTCAGTTGATACTCCTTGAAGAATATATAAATAGTTAATTATAATAATAAAAATTAAAATAAAATTAAATAAAAAATAAATATTAATAAATATATTTAATAATAATAAATTAGATTTACCTGTTAATACTAATAGTGTTTTTGTTCCACCATTAATTCCAAATTGAATATCTGTATTTAAACGATCTCCAATCATACAAGTTCTTTCAACATTCAAATATAATTTTTGAATCATACAATCTAACATAGGTTTATTTGGTTTTCCTATTGTCACATCAGGATTTCTATTTAATGATGTAATTAAAGGAGTAACCAAAGATCCTGTACCTAAAAATAGAATATATAAACAATATAAAGGATATGAAATGTATATAGAAAATAAAATATATAGAAAATATAGAAAATATAATAAAAATATAAAATATCTAAATATAAATATTATATATATTCACCTGGATAAATAGTTCCATTAGAAGGAAATGTTGTATCATCATTGGTCAACATGAAAATACAATCTGGATTTGAATATAAATAAGTGAAGGCTTTTGCTATTTTCTTGTAATTGAGATGTGTATCAAAACCACAAATAACTGCTCCAACCTATAATAAATTAATAAATTTATTGAGAAATATAAAATAGAAACATAAATATAAATATTAACAATTTATTATTACCTCAGAATTTGGAATAATTTTACTAAAATCAAATTCATTGTCAATTTGATTATCTTCCTAATAATTAATTAATTAATTTATATAAATATAATAATTAAAATTAATTAATATAAATATAATAATTAAAAATTAATTAATAATAAAAAAATAATTAAATATAATTAATTTTACATTACATAAGATCCACAATAATGAAATCCTTCAAGACTCAATTCCTCGGTAATTCCAGATTCCCCAATTACGTAAACTTTTTTGTCATTTGGAAATTTAATAACATTCTTAAGATAATAAGCTGCTGCATATGCTGAACAAAAAATTTCATCCTATAAAAAATAAAAAAAAATAAAATAAAAAAAAATAAATAAATAAATATATAAAAAGTATTTGATTAATTTTTTTAATTTTAAATTAAACTATAAAAAAATGAACCCTGTTAGCTTCAATATTCAGTTTCTTAAATTTTCCCAGAACACCTGAACGAGATTTTGTACTGTTATTTGTGACAAATATTAGTCGCTTGCCTATAATAATATATTTGAATTATTATCACAAATGTAATAATAACTATTTATTATTATTATTATTATTATTATTATTATTATTATTATTATTATTATTATAATTATTATTTATTATTATTATTACTATTATTATTATTATTTATTTATTTAATTTATTTATCATTAACAAACACTATTTACCATTTTTTCGAAATAACTCCAAGGCTTCTTTAACTTTAGGAATAAGAGTATTATGATGCCATATGACTCCTTTATTAAAGAAATTGAAACGTTTTTATTATAATTTTAAAAATAATATAAATAATACATTTTTTTTTTCAACTTACCATCACAGTCAATTAAAAAAGTATCAAATTTATTAAGAAAACTGTTATATGAAGTTTTATCGGAAAGTTTGATAGGTTTCGTCATTGTGTTAAATTAATTAAAAAAAAAAAATGAAATTATAATACGATATGGATATATTCAAGAATAAATAATATATCGAAGAAGAAAAATCGAAAAATCTCGATCCTAATTTATATTTTAATTTATAATATAATTCTGTAATCAGATCAGATCTTCGAAATTGATCCAAAAATTATTTCCCATTCCAAAAAAAAAAAAAGTAATAAATCGAGTAAAAAAGTTATTACAAAGTTATTATTATAGTTATGGTTTTTCCACCACCTTCAAAATATCAAGCCACCACAGGAAAAGGTTTCACACCAGCGCTTCAGCGTGCAAGAAGACCATATTTAGTTCGTAATGTTCTGACGGGAGTAGCTTTGTTAAGTTTTACTGCTGCTGTGTGTATCCATTCTTTTTTTCTCGCTTCTTATTTTTTCATTTATTTTTTTTTTATTTCTTATGTATATGATGTATTTATGTCTCGTTATTATCCTAATATATAATATGTCTTATTATTATTATCCTTAATATATTTGATATTTAATTTATTTAATTCATTTAAAAAAAAAAAAAAAAGATTCATATGCTATTTTAGCTGTAAAACAAGATGATCTGGGTGATATCCCACTTCCTTCTCCTCCTCCTTCTTCTGCAAACAATAATAATAACAAAACAATTTGAATTTTCTTGGAATGCATATATGCACAAATATTTATATCTATTTTCTTAAAATTTATCTGTTACATGTGTATATGTATTTATATCTGATATATATATACACATATATATATATATATATATTTCCAATCCTTTTATTTATTTTATTTTTATGGAGAGGAATTTTAAATTAAAAATGGATGATAATAAATATAAAATATAAATATATATAAATGAATGTATAAATTTTGATTCAAACCTTTATTATTACTATTATTATTATAGCTATTTACAAAAAAATCAAAAATAAAACTCTAATCTTAATTAGTCTTAATTTATCTTAGAAAAGGAGATTTCCTAAACCAGAATAAGTCAAGATTATTACGTAATATCTCGCATAATTATCATGTGACATAACGGCGATAAATAAATAAATATTGATTTTAGATGCGATGTTTACAAAGTAACTCTTTCATTCGAAACAAACAAAAAATAACAAAATGTTAAAAATGTCAAATTACCATTTCTCATCAAAAAACAACAATGAAACAACAAATGAAGAATCAAATGAAGAGAATGAAGGTTTATTAGAAATGGAAAGAAAAATAAGTAACTATATTAACCATTTTTACATAATTTTTACTTTTTTTTCAATTTCAAAATTACCAACAACTTCATTTTTTTTTTCTTTTTTCTTGATTATCCTTAATAAGTTAAAAGAGGTAGAAACATGATTATCAGTAAAATTTCTGATGATGACTCTCATATGTCAGAAGTAAATACTCCAAGTGATGAGGTAAAACTATTAAAAATATTTTTAATTATTATTTCTTTTTTTTTACTTATGTCTTTTTACATTATTTATTTTAAAATCCATTAAAATGTAGCCCGAATTTAAACGCTTAAAGAGTGATCGACTTGTTCGAGAAGAAGTAGCAGAAGAATGTGAGGATGAAATTCCCGAAATTCCTGACGAAGACGAGATAATCGATGACCAAATCTTAGAATCCGGTTTCGTCGATGACAGTGACAACGAAAATGATAGAGACAACGATTATGAAAATGAAAATGTTCATATTCAAGAGAATGATGATTATGCTGAGGATTATTATGATAATCATGATGACGAAAATGATGATGATTATGAAGATAACAATAATGAGAGTTATTATGAGAATTATTATGAAGATGATGAATATGATATTGATGATGAGAATTATAATGAAGAATGTTATCAGGATTATAAAGATAATGATGATGATGATTATAATGAGAGTGAAAATGATGATGATGATGATGATGATTCGGATGATTTTGAAATGGAAGAATCGGAAAGCAGAGAAACTTCATTGGATTCAAATTTTTCAATACGAATGAAAATGATTGAAGAAGATAATGCAATTAAAACTAAAGATTTACCAGAAAGAATGCTCGTAAGTTAATCCATCTTAAATAAATAAATAAATAATTATTATTATTATTTAATTTTCTTTATATTTCTTTAATTTTCCTAAATTTCCAATTTTCCTAATTTTCCTCTATTTATAGCTTCGACCTAATATAATTACAGATAGAAAATTAACAGACGAAGAGGTTACGGAAGCTACAAAAATCATTTCCGATAATTTTTCGGAATATTATGGTCGTCATAGATCTTCGAAATTACAAGCAGCAATTAATAAAGTATTAAAATGTCTAAGTCAAGAATTTTTAGAGGTAAATTATTTATTTCACTTAATTTCTTTTGATTTATACATTCTAATTCTTCTCTTTTAACATATAACATTATATTTCTTGCCATTATTATATTCTACAAGGTTCCATATATTTATTCATATCGACGTTATTACATTGCGGATTTTCATAAAGATTTTTCAATATCTCGTGAAATTCTTAATCGTCAAAATTTATGGGATATCTATGATTGGGAATATGAATATAGATTATTAATTGAAAATCGGGAATTAATTCAATTAAAATTATTAAATAGATTTTATGATAATGATGATTATGATGAATATATATTAAATATACTTAATTCATCCTCAAGTGAGGAAACTCTCTCCGATTTAAATGATTATATTCTTCATATATATTCAAAGAGATTAGCGGAGGCAGCAATCAAAGATCCAAGTACACATCAACATTTAAAAGAATATTCATTTTATATTGAATGTTTAAGTAAAGGAACACATGAATTGGTTAAAGTATGTAATTTTATTTTTCTTAATCTTTCCTGTTAATTTTCTTCTTAATTGATTTCTCAATTACTTTTAAATAGTATATGGGTGTTGATGTAGAATTATTTAGTAGAAGTTTGGTGGAAGAAAATCCTAAACTTTATCAAGTTACCGAATCCGAATTTGGTCCATCAATTGCAAAAGAATTTTCTGAAATTAATCCCAAGGAAGCTTTAGCGAGTAAATATTAATTTATTTATTTATTTTAATAATTAATATATTATTCATTTATTAATATTTCTTTATTAATATTGTTTTATTGATAATATTATTATTCATTAATTCATTAATATTATTTTTATAGCTGCAACAAAACTACTTTCGCTAGATATTGCATTTGATCCATTGTTTAGAAAATATGTTCGTCAAAATTTTATCAAACGCAGTGTGATCATAGTAAATCCTTTACAAGAAATTGACGAATCAGATCCTTGTTGGGTAAGAATATTATTAATTCATATTTAATTATTAATTAATTTGAATCAACTTTTTTAATCTTTTTATTTTATTTTTGTTATATTTCTAGCAATTCCGATGTTCAAGAAGGCACATTAAAAAATTTAGAAATACTGGAATATTTGCTGAGATGATGTCAGCAGAGAAGAAAGGTCAAATTGAAATAAAGGTCATTTTGGAAAATGAGTACAGATTTTTCGAAACCTTGAAAAAAAGGATTATAAATAATTCATCCGAATCGAATAATAATAATAATTGTTCATGGAATAAATATCGTATTAGTGCTATTAAACAAGCATTTAATAATGAATTACGTCCTATCATGGAATCCTGGATTAAGTCACGTCTTAATAAATTCGCTGAACGTTGGATAATGACAAAGACTATGGAAAACTTTGAAAATGTAAAAAAAAAAAAAAAAAATTTACTTCAAAAAATGAATTTCGAAAATTATTTATCGAATTAACTTTAATTTATAATTTTTTTTTTTTTGTATGTTAGAAATTAAACGTCTGTCATTTTCGAACTTCTAAAATGAGTAGAAACGAAATTTCACGAGTTGCTGCTTTATCGTGGGGTTCCGGAATTAATTGTGATACGGAATGCGTTTTCCTTGATGAGAATTGTAATCTTGCGGATTACTTGAGTTTTAATAATTTAAGGGATAATAGGGATATGGAGGAATTTTATAAAGTCATTCAATTCATTCGTAAAAATAAACCACACGTAATTGTGATACGTTGTTTTGATGGACGAACTAGGTATTTGTTAGAAATTGTACAAGAAGTGGTGGATTATTATAAATTACAAGGTGGAGATCATATCCCGGTTATAGCAATTAACAATGAAGTTGCGAAATTATATATGTCATCACCAAGAGCCAAGAAAGAATTTCCTAATCATAATGATCTAACAAGATATTGTATATCATTGGCTCGGATGTTACAGAATCCAATTGGTGAATATGCTGTTTTAGAAGAAAGCGTAGCATCCATTATACATCATCCGCTGCAATCTTTGGTATGCATTTTTTTAACATTATTATTAATTATTTTTAATCATTTTAATTGATTTTAATTGATTTTTTTTTTTAATCTTTTCATCCTGATAAAAGTTATCACATGAAAAACTTATTGAATGTTTGCAACGTGGATTTATAAATATTATTAATGAAATTGGAGTTGACTTTAATCAAGAAATGAATAAAGAAAACAAAATAGATCTTCTACAGTATGTAAGTGGATTAGGTCCTCATAAAGTTGATGATTTAATTGGAAAGATTTTGACTAATGTAAGTTTTTATTGTATCTTTATTTTTAGTATAATCATTATCATTCTTATTATTGAAATTGGGTTATTCAACATTTTTTCTTTTATTATTGTTATTATTATTATTATTTCTCTTATTGAATATCCTTTATAGGGTAAAAAAGAATTAGAGAAGAGAGATCATATACTAAAAAATTATTCGATGGGAAATGTCGTATATACAAATTGTGCTGGTTTCATTCGAGTTCAATCATATCGATGTGGTCCATTTGATAATACCAGAATTCATCCTAGATATTATGCATTAGCCAGTAAAATGGTTCGTGATTCATTCGATTTAGATGAAGAAGGTGATGGAGTAATAAATGACAGTTGTTTAAAATTATGGACCAGACGATTAACCTCGGAACCGGAAAAAATTAATGATCTGGTGTTAGATGATTATGCGAAAAGGCTCTCAAAATATCATCGGTTTACTTCTAACCTTATTATGCATAACATTAAAATGGAATTGGTGAGACCTTACGCTGATCCGAGAAGAAATTTCGAAATCCTTTCTCCGGAACAAGTGTTTGAAATGGAAATGGAAGAAACTTATGAAATGTTAAATACGGAATTAAGAGATGCGTTAACATTTAATAATAATAATAAACACGGTATTACAGTTCGTGAATCATCAATACAATGTAAATTTTATTGAATTTTTTTTTTAGTAAAAAACAATTATGACGATGAAAAAGGGGGGATAGGGTGAATTAAAGAAAATTCGGAATCTAAATTTTTTTTTTTATTCTAGATGCTTCATCGGTTACTCATCCACCATCTACTCCTCCCCCTCCACCTCCTCCACCTAAAATAACTTCATACTCATCGTTTCATCAAATAAATTATAAGGAAGCGATCCAAAATCTTGCAAATAAGAGTATAGGTTCCTATGTTGTTAGACCATCATCCAAAGGTTATGGCTTTATTTCAATTACTTGGAAAATATATTCAAACATATTTCAACATGTTGGTGAGTAAAAGAATATTGTCTCAAGATATTTTATTATTTTATATTTTATTTATATTGTTATTTTTATATATAAATTTTTTATTTTATTTTTATTTATATTAAATAACTTAGATATTGTTGAAAAAGAAAAATATGGAGACTCAATTGGGAAAAAATTGGAAGTTGAAGGTGGTAAATATGTATATTCCGATTTAAAAGAACTTCTCAAGGAATACATAGAACAAAAGGTCCAAACGGCTTTGGATTTAATGATTCACAAAAGATTTTTTCCTTCCGAAGAAGATTCAAGTATGTTGTTTTTTTTTGAAAAGTGGATTATTATTATTCTTTTTTTCTGAATTTTTTTTTTAATTTCCTTTATATTTCTACTCTATTATATCATTAGAGCGATTTATTTATCTATTTATGAAAACCAATACATCCAAACTGGCATATGGATTTTGTTTTGATAGAGAAATTCCGGGAAGGTTTTGCTTTATATATAGGATGAACCAAACCTCTAATATAGAAGTTCTTGTAATTATCTTTTTTTTTGGGATTTTCTATAATTATTTATTAATATAAATAAATTTTAAATTAATTAATTAATTTATTATTATTATTATTATTATTATTATTATTATTATTATTATTAGAAAGGAAGTATCAGGCCAGAAGGTTACAAGTTTAGTGGATCTGTATATCCAACATTAAGTCATTTGGTAAAGGCAATCAAGAATTTAATCGGTTATAAAAGAAAGCCATTAACCGCCAAGTCTTACCTTTCCTTTTTTGCTTCTGAAGAATAATAATTGGGCAGAAAGAAGAAGATCCAAGAGGATTTTCATGTATTATAACTTTTAAATAGTAGTTTATTCATTTGAAAGTTTTAATTTATTTATTTTTTTTTTAATAAAAAAAAATAGATATACATGTGTAAATAAATAAAATAATTAAATAATTAAATAATTAGAAAATTAAAATTAATAAAAATAAAAAGAAGAAATTTTTTCTTTCTTAATAGTTATTTTAGTTTGATAAATTTAATTTTCCGATTCTGATTATCTTTACTTATAAAATGGCAATCATGAAAAATTATCATTCTTTTTTCCTATATTTTCAGTTATTATTTGTAGTAATGTTAAGAATATAAAAATTCCTGATTCATGTTGTCTATAAAATTTATTACCAAGTTGCTTATATGTTATTTGTTCTCTGTTATTTCTATCAGAAATATTGCTCAGATTTAATTAATTATTTTAAATAATTATTCTTAGTAATTAATAATCTGAATCCAGAATTTCAAATAATAACCATCTACTGAAAGTTCTTTGGACATCTAAACGATTATTTATAACTATATGATACAGGAAAGAGTATGGTAACAAAAAAAAGATTAATCCATCATCTTCTATAATAAATATAATGCTTGTTTGTAATGTCATAGTTCTAAATAAAGAAAAATGTTTTCTAAGTATTCAATAAATAAATAAATTATAAATTCTTTTTTTTTGTGTGAGAATTCTTTTCCAATTTACAGCTTTTTAAAAAGTTAAAATTTATTGAATATCATTAATATCATAAAAGTCCATATATATAAAATAATCTATATAAATCTATATTTTTTCATGAATCCAAAAAAAAAAGAATATACAATATTTTTTGATAAAATAAATTGAATAATAAATATAAATTCTATCAATCAATAACAAGAAGCAATAAAACGAAATTTGATTGTTCCATGTTCACCATCCAAAATCATCATTCTATCAAACCAGATACTGGGAACAATCTTCCAATACATGAGTTCAAAAAATTCATTTTTCAATGTTCTGATACAATAAAATGTTTTAGTTACATCATAAAATATCTTTTCGCCTTCTTTTTCTCCTAATAAATCTATATAATGATCCAGGGCGACTACGCTCACATTATTATATTTGATTTCAAATAAAAATGAGAGATGATTTGAAAAATCGATTAATGTTGATGATTGAGATGTTTGTGAAGATATTGATGTCGTTGTTGTCGTTGTCGTCGTCGTCGATGAGGAAGAATTGTTTTGATTATCTTGAGATAATTGAGAAGAATTTGATGGTGATGATGTTGTACAAGTTTGTGAAGTAGTTGAATTTAAATTCATGAAACAAATTAAATTTGAGGATGCATCGTATATTGGTCTCACGTGCTTCAAAAAATGAGTTTTATATTTTTTATATGGTTCATCACATGCAGTTATCTACAAGAGAAATATAAACTCAGATATAACTACCAGCAAGCTATATATAAATTTTGACTTTCCAGTTGTAAATACCTCGATTACCCAGTTTCCTGAAAACATATGTGTAAATGCATCATTTATAATAACGGGGATCAATTTGTTCCATTGTTTGCAAGTTCTACGCAATAAGAAAATTTTTTGAAAATTACTATTAAAAAAAAGATAAATTTAATTAGATTAGATAATGTGTGATTTTTAATTTCTGATTTAAGAAAAAAAATCATGCTAACATAATAATAGTATACATACCTTTCTATCCTAAGTAAAGTTTCAAAAATAATAATCATAATCTCATTCGGAAAGTTCATTCTCACAACTTTCTTTTCCTCTTTTTCATATTCATTTTCAAAAATTGCGTGAAAATTATCATAAAAGGACCTTGCAAAACGTAAAAGAGAAATATTTCCGACCAAATCAATATTATTATTATTGTTATTGTTATTGGTTTCTTGATTTAATGGTTCAAAAGAAATTGGTTCTCGAGTTTTGTGTTTTTTGACCAAATTCATTTTTAATAACGATTCTAATGAAAAAAAAAGGGCACAAAAGTTCAAAAATGGAACGTTGATCTTTTTATATTTGATTTTCCGATGAGTTAACCTTTGAAAGTTTACAAGGCCCAAAAAAATGTCTATTTATGTATAGATGCATGAATATACCTTTTATCAAATGTCTTTACTTTTTTTTCTTTATAATCATTAATGATAAATGCTTGGCTCGATTAAATCAGTTCAGTTAAAATTATTTTATAACTAAACTTGACCAAAAAAAAAAGGTATCATAAGAAAAAATTGAATTGTATTATTTTGAAATTTCTTCAGATTATTTGTTTCAAATGCAATTTGGGAAACATTGTTCCAAATAAATTTATATAATCATGTAAATTTTTTTTTGAACAATGAAACGTAATGCAATTATATCGATTTCCCGTTTTAACACGCCCATGCTATTAATATTCAACAAGCATTTTTTAAAAACTATGACTTAAAAGGTTAGGTTGATAACTAATTTACATAATTCATGAAGAATACTTTCCAAAAAGGGGACTCTCACAAAAGGCAAGGATCTATCAATTAGATAATTATGATGTCGAAGATTATATAAATTTCGTTAAGTCTAAAAATTCAGATCTCTTTTCAGATCACAGTATCAGAAGGTGGAATTTTCTTAGTACTTTATTCTTGTTTTTACTCCCACAGCATCTACAATGAAATTTTCTCAGTACGCTGTTCAACGAAACAGATGGTACTCAATTGACAAGGAGACAAAAATTTGATACATGAGATTTTTTATAACACATTGATTGATTATCTAATAATTCGGTGAGAATAATTATTATAAAAATCAACAAATACGTCATAAAAATTGGTTTAATATTAGAATAAAAATATCGAAATATTTTAATAAAAAATATTAAATACAAATGTCACAAAAATAACCAATATTTCTATTGTTTGTTAACAAACGTCATAAAAATTAATTCATCATTTGATCAATTGTGAATAAGTATTTAAACGACAATCAATTCGCGAGGAGGATGGGAGGGTCAAGAGGATAATATGATGTTATATTAAATTTCAAATTTTTGTATTATAACAACCTTAACATTAGCATAAATAGCGTGTATTCTCAGTTCAAATTATTACTTTTTTGACTGAAAAAATATCTTGAAAAATTTCTTGATCAACCGTCTCCACGCAATCGATCGCCGTAAAAGAAATTCTCGAATTTAATCCGTTAGAATGGGATAAAAAATATTTATATATAACCTAGTATAATCTTTAATTAAATTACTGAATTATTTTATTTTTGAAACGTGAAAATTCCGTTGCCATATAACTGTCACCAATTCTTTTCAATTCATCGTTCCTGCAATTCATTCTCAAATGTATTACCTTTCAATTTTTTAAAAAAAGGTCTTTAAAACTCCTTGAAAAATTATCCCAAGATTCCACTGAACTGCTTGATAATATTGAACAACAAAATGTCATTATTAATATTGGTAAAGCAAGCAAATAATAAATCCTTCACTCACTCAACCGTCTTACGTTATTGATCATGAATACCATTGTAAATGAAAAACAAACATTTCTTCTCAAATCTTTGAAGTTACAATATATTTTACATACCATTTTTTTATTTATTTTACATCTACGATAATAAATATAATTTTACCATCTAAATATATTCCGTGAACTGGCACAAACATCTCAGGCACAGCATATTGAATCTACAATGAAAATTATACAGGTTGGGAAAAGTAATGGTGATAAATGGTAAATCAGAACATCCAAACAAAGAGAATTGTTAATGTGGAAAATGTAGGTATCAAAACTACTTACGAATTGATGATTTCTACTAAAGAATGGGAATTTGAAGAATTTTCCAAAAAAAAAAATAGAAAGTCACCTTAATGATGCTAAAACTTCATGGTTAAAAATACTCATTTTTCTTTTGTTTATCAATCAATTTTAAAATTAACAAGTTCAAAAATTTTTTGTAGTAATATTATTGTGAAGCATCCAAATCTTATATTTTTTTGAATCTGAAGATTTTAAATCTCTTCAAGAATCAGCATTGGCGTCTATTTTAAAGCGGGATGACCTGCAAGTGGGGGGTGGGTATCGCTCAAACCCTGCTTTGCCCGTGAAATTGGAAGAATGGTCCAATAGACTTTTAAAAATAACCATACATCTCAAGTGAAGATGTCATTAATAAAATTAAACCTCATAAAAAATTTTCGAACTACTACTTTGGGACGATCTAATTCAACATTTTTTACTTCCAAATCAACCAATTAAATCAATTATTTTACCAGCAAAATCTATTTTAATTTCCGAATTGCTTCCAAGAGATTTTAAATCAATTCTATACTTGTCACGAGATATGCCTCATAAATTTCAATTGATTTTAGGAGAAAGCAGAGATGGATTTGTTTCTAAACGTTTGGGGCATGTTCCATGGATATGCTAATAACGTAGCTACTTTGACAGATGAAATCTCGGGAGGATCTAATCCCTTAGAATGGAAAAAAATATCATAATCAGCACTAACTGATGGAAACAAAAAATAGTTTTATATTTTCATTGAAAAATCGAAACTCTATTATTAGCACTTTATTATTATTAGGTCAAAATATCATACAGCGTATTATTAAAGATTTATTTAAAAAAAAATTTTAATATGGGATACGTTCTCCATTTTTTCAATTACAAGTTTCATGGACCCCACCAAGTTCGCTAAAATACTTTTCCCATTCTTCTACCATAAACCGCTCTAATTCAATTAATTTTTGGCAACATTTTTCAAACTTTCCCTTAACTATACTCCACAAATTTTCTATTGGTTGAGGTCGGATCTATTAGATGGCCAATCGATTGCAACCCGACTTGTATGCTTAGGATCATTGTCTTGCTGAAACTTCCAACGACGTCCAAGCATTCTTCGAATTTCGGGAAAGTGTTTTCTAAGATCTTCACATAAAGTGGACCGTTCATAATTCGTTGAAAGCAAAAAAGCTTCCTCTTGACCACAAACCCCACAGGCAAAAATTTTTTTTTTTGCCCACGATATACAGTGCATTAAGAAAGTCTTTGGAAAACTTCACGTATTAATAATTCAAAAACTACTGCGCCATTTCGAATGTATTATGGCTTGTTAGAAAGCTGAAGATTTATTTAAAAAAAAATTTATTACATTTAATATGGGATACGATCCCCATTTTTTTCAATTATAAGTTTACATCGTTCTTTCATAGACCCCACCAAATTCGTTAAAATACTTTCCGGGATTTTTTCCCATTCTTCTATCATAAACCGCTCTAATTCAATTAAATTTTTGGCCAACGTTTTTCAACCTTTCCCTTAACTATACTCCATAAATTTTCTATTGGGTTGAGGTCGGGACTGTTAGACGGCCAATCGATTACTATTGGAGCATTTTTTTCTAAAAATTCTTTTGCAACCCGACTTGTATGCTTTGGGTCGTTATCTTGTTGGAACTGCCAACGACTCCCAAGCACTTTTCGAATTTCGGGAAAGTGTTTTTCCAAGATTTTCACGTAAAATGGACCATTCATAATTCGTTGGAAACAAAAAAGACTCGTCCTATCTCGTACCGGACGTTTCTCTTTGTACCAAAATTGCACCGTATTACGAAACAATTGAAATGATGTTTCGTCAGAAAAAACCGTTCGATTCCAATTGTAATTTTGATATTTTTTTGCTCATGCTACCCGTTTTTGCATGTGTTCATTTGTGAGCATTGGCGAAACCTTAGCCCGGTTTTTTTTATACCCAAGTTCGGTTAAATGGTTCTATAACTGTTACGTGCGAGATCTGGACTTCTTTTTTTAAAAGTTTGGTGGCAAGTGCATTTGTTGAAATTGATGGATCGGCTTTTACTTGTTGGGCTAAAATTTGGAGCTTCGGGAAGAGATTTTTCGGGGGGCGACCAGTACGATTTCGGTGACGAATACTACCAGTTTTTTTTTAATTTAGAAAAATTGTAATATAGGAATACCCGTTCGTTTTTGTATTTCTTTTGCAGTTTGGATTCCTCTGTCCCGTAATTGTTGGATGGTTTTGTAATGTACATTCTGATGGCCGCTCATTTTTTTGACTTACCAAAGTTCAATAAACGGACAAATTAGATAATTGATTTTCTTCATTTAAATCTTAATGCACTGCACTGTAGATTTGGCTCATGTTTTGGAAATTATAAAATCAGGTTATTGAATAGATTATGTGACCAGTGATATGAAGTTTGAATTTTTTTCAACCATATTCAAAAAACAATGATTTGCGTTATTCGAAACTGTAATGCTCATCTAATATTATCAAATATTAATATTAAGATGCGTTGATTTATTTATTAAAATTTATATCTGAGTCCTTCATTATTCCTCGAAATATAAAAATTCAAAAGGTTTCAAATTGTACAAATTTAATCAAAATTCCAATAGATGCAACTTTTTTAAAGAGAGAAAAGAAATTTTTTAATGATGGGATAAAACCAAATTTCTTAATTTTTATTGACATTTATTTGAATCCAACGATCGTCGAAAATTATAAAACTTACCGTTTAAGCCTAAAGTCAATGAAAAAATTTTATATTATGGATCATATGTGTCAAATAATTTTTGATAAGAAATATAAAATAATATAAGCTAAAGCTTTACAATTAAATAAATCAACGATTGTTTTAAAAAATAAGATATAAAAATTATTTTATTCTCATTTTAGATACTTTGACTTTAAAAAATGTCTTTTAAATTTCTTAAAAAATTATCTCTTGATTTCACTGAGCTTCTTGGTGACAAAGACGAATATACAGTAATGTCATTATTGAAATTGATAAAGAAACAAATAAGAAATCCTTCACTGCGCATTCAATTTTAATGATGAATTAATGAATACGACTGTTAATAAAAATCATTATTAAACCAAATATTTCTTTCCAAGTATTTGAAATCATTCTCAAGTAAGTTACAATATATTATATATATTTATATATTTTATACATTTTTTTTTACCATATACCTATCATTTCATAATAATAGAATTTATAATTTTATCATCTTAGATATATTTATGGTGGAATTGTTAATTTGAAAAATGTAGATACAAAAACAATTTATGAATTTATGATTTCTGCTAAAGAATTGGAATTTGAAGAACTTTCAAAAGAAATTGAAACTAAAGCTGCATGGATAAAAACTCATTTCCCTTTGTTTATCAATCAATTTTTAAAATTAAGAAGTTCAAAAATTTGGTAATAATATTATTACAAAGCATCCAAATCTTGTTTTTGAATCTGAAGATTTTAAATCTCTTCAAGAATCAGCATTGGTATCCATTTTAAAGCGTGATGACCTACAAATGAAAGAATCCGATATTTGGGATTATGTTATTAAGTGGGGAATCGTTAAAAACCTTGCTTTGCCCTTTAAATTGGAAGAATGGACTAATGAAGATTTTTTGACTTTAAAAATAACCTTAAAAAAATGCTTACCACATATTCGTTATTTTCTCATCTCAAGTGAAGATGTTATTAATAAAATCAAACCTTATAAAAAATTTTCGAAGAATAACTTTGGGATGATTTAATACAATATCTTTTACTTCCAAATCAGCTAATTAAATCAATTATTTTGCCAGCATGATCTATTTCAATTTCTGAATTGCCTCCAAGAGAAAATAAACCTTTTTCAACTATAGAAATTTCGTCATGGATCGATTTCAAATCAACTCCATATTTGTCACGAGATATGCCTCATAAATTTGAATTGATTGAAGAGGAAGCAGGGATATGCCAATACAGTAGCTATTTTGAAAGTCAAAGGAACAGATGAAATCTTAGGAGGATGTAATCCCTTAGAATGGATCAAATATAATAATCGGTATTTTGATAGTGGTGGATGGGTAGAAACAAAAAACAGTTTAATATTTTCATTGAAAAATCGAAACTCTATTCTTAGCAGAGTAAAACATCCCGAAGTATTATGATGATAATACGTTTGGCTTATATTTTGGAGATGATGATCGTAAAATGAAATCAGAAGTATCTGATTTTTCACAAGATAATTATTGCCAGTGCCGAAAAAGTTCTTATGAAAAACTTATTAGGACAACGAAAGAAAATTTCACAATAATTGATTATGAAATTTTTCAAATCATTAATATATTTTATATCTTATTTTTAGTTATACGTATTTATTTATTTATAAAATTAGTAATTTAATGAGATTATCAAGATTAACTCTTTATCACATGAAAATATATAATTATACAGTAGCATTTCCAAGGGAAGGAAGCATTTATAATCAAAATCATACTTAAATGTAACTTCACGGTTTTTTAAAGTTTCTGCAGTTACAAAAATTTCCACTTTACCAAATATTAAGTAAATGAAATTATTAAATGAAACTTACTAGTCTACATGAGTGTCACAAAAGCTTTAAATAATGAGATCTGTAGGTTTCCATTTTCTCATGTCATCAGTACCAATAAGAAATTAATAATGAGATATTGAAATAAAGTATAAAAAAATAAAATAATTTTATTTTATTGTAAGTCCATTTCAATTCACTTCACAACTTCCTCTGAATGGCTACATATATTGAAATATATGTAATTAAAATAGTTATTAATAATTATTTTTAAAGAGAGAATTACTTCCTTTTGAACAAACTTTTTTTCTTAACATCATCAAATTTAATTTTAATCAGCCATTCTTTCCTTTCTGATTCATCCGGATCTAAATAAAATTCGACGTGTCGTGTTTAAAATGCAATGCAATGAGATCGATTAATCACATCCTTTTCTTATATTTTTACTAAGAAATTTAATGAATTCTTTATCTACATAACTAAATCGTAAATTAAATTGAAAAAAAAATAAAATTCTGATCAAATTATAGAATAAATTACACGGCTTCGGATGGTTTCAGATTTAAATAAAATAAAAGTAGACATTTTTTGAATATTCCGATTAGAACAACTACTACTGTAAGATAAAAAATTTTTTCATATCATATAACTTAATACATTATTCTTTATTCTTTTGCATTATTATTAAAACCTGTAAAAATATTCTTTTATTAAGTTTTTGTTTGTCATATACTAACTGAATATAAGCCTTTTAAACATCATGTGAATGAATCGATTAATTACACAATATGTTTGTTATTTATATAAAGTGTATTTCTAATAAAAAAAAAACTTGGAATATTCAAAAAAAAAGCGAACAAGTCAATTTTATTATTTATAAAACATTATTATAATGTCGGATACTCGAGTTCCTAATGAACTCATAATCAAAATCCTGGGATATGTTCAAGCAACAATGTTAATTTGAATATGTATTCAAATTTTCTAGAAATTTTACATATATAATTTATATGTATACATATATAATTTTATATCTATTTTTTCTACATAATTTCTATTAATCTCTCATCCAAAATATTTTTAATATATTTTCTAGCTCTAAACAGCTTTTCAAGCTGTGCAGAACATGCAAACGATGGAATGAATTAATTCCATATGTCATCAAAGATGGAATCTCGAAAATTCGATGCGAAGATTGGAGAATCGAAGTAAATATTTGATTTTTTTTTTTAATTTATGATTCATTTTTATAATTTACTCATCAAAATAATATTTTCTTTCACAAAGATTGGAACGCGCTTTGGCAAAGAATATTAGCAATATTTTAAGACGAATTTTTGTCGAAATTTTATTTACGATGATCAACAAAAAACCTTTAAAATTGATATTACAAAATATCAAAAAGCTTTTTCCAAGTTTGACTCCTTTTCTATTAATCTAAGTAAACCAGGAATCTATTTCATAAATTCTTCAATTTTCAAAATTAGTTTTAAACTAGAAGAGTAATTGACGAAGGTATGAAAGAAAATTCGAGAAAGAGAAGAATGAAAAGAAAAAGGAGAAGCAAAAAATGGGAAAATAAATCAAGTGAAAAAATTTCCGTCAAAGATAAAATAAGTGAAATTAAAATTATTTTTAGTGAAGATAGTGAGTTGATAAAATTTGAAAGTTGGAAAGTTAAAGCTGAAGAATTTTTCGAAGCAGTTGATCGTTTAAATCAAATTTTATAAAAAAAATAAAAAAATAAAATACTGTATGTTATATACTGTATTAGATAGATAAATAATTGAAGCAACGCGTGAGCTAAATACAAATGTAGATCAACCCATTAAAATTATAATGAATGAAATAAAGGTTAAAATAATTGACAAGAAAAATGATTCTTTCAATGTATCACTGATAAATCCTTAACGCGTAAACTTTTACCTCATAGCGATCCATCATTCCCTCTCTTCTCTCTCCATTACTATCACGCTCATCTCTAGTTACATTATCTCTAATATCTTTCTTTTGCGACTGACTCCACAGTTTTGATAAGAAGAATTTTTTCTAATTCCTTCACTTCAAACTTCATCCAACTTGTTAATAATTTGATAATTTAATTATACATATCAAATTTATAATAAAAGAGATGCTTACTTTTCCTTAATCAAAAAATTTGCATTTGAAATAAGTGAAAATATCGAAAGAATTATTAAATAAAATATTAATAAAGATATTAAAAGCGGGAGATATAAAAATAAGAGAAGCATTGTGCGTGTGCGTCAAAACAAATTAATTTGTTCAGTTTAAAGAGAAGTTAAAGAAATTAACGATGGTTCTTCGCAATAAATACGAATTACATCATAAATATGTAATTAACATTAATTTTTTTAAATGCAGATCAATTCTTACGACGTATAAAAAAACAGACAACATAACAATAACAGAAGATAAAAGTACTTTTAAAAAACGACAAGAAATAAACTGAAATAACTGAGAGGCAAATCAAATAAAGAATTCCAATTTCACGATTGATACTATTTTATTCAAAATCGTTTCATCGAGATTATCGAACGTCTGTAGAAAGAAATAAAAGTAAACATTTTAATCATCTTCTTCAGAGATGAGTAGTAGAAAATATCCTACATTTAAAGATCTAACGGAAAATTTGATCGGTAATTTGATAAACATAACATAAATATTTTTTTTAGTTCAAAATATTTTTTATTTATTTTATATTATATATTTCGAAAAAATTTAAAAAGGTGAATTAGTTTCAATCCGTGGTATGGTAACTCATGCGTCAGGAGTAAAATTACGCGCTTTGGAAGTTGCATTTACTTGTGTTGAATGTGAAAATATTCAACAATTAGAATTTGATGTTAGTGGTAGAGGAAAATATTATTCACCATTTAAATGTAAAACTTGGGGATGTAAAAGTAAAGAATTTCAACCCAATTTGGAATTTGATGAAGAAAAAGGTCAAAAAGTTTTTGATGATTGGCAGAATATCAGGTATTGAACAAAAACAAACAATTTATTAAACAGGGATCCTGCATAATTATTTTTAACAAATATTTTTTTTATCTACTATTATTATTTATATTATTTATTATAGAATTCAAGAAGTTTGGAATGGAAATAATGGAAATGAAAATTATATTGTAACAATGTCTCTTCCCAAAGTTATTGATTGTGAATTAAGAAATGAATTAGTAGATTCAGTGAAACCAGGTGATTTTGTTTTTGTTACTGGGGTATTACAAGTTAATGAAATTCCAGGTAATCTTTAATTTTTAAATAAAATAAATAAAGATAATAAAAAGAGATAGATATAATTTATTATAATTTATCTTTATTTCTTTTCAGTCATAGAAAAGACTAAGAAAGGAACAATGATGCATCATTTATACATTGATGTTAGAGAAATCAAAAAAGTTGAAATTATTGATAATTTTTATTCTGATAATAATAATGATAATTTTAATGATAATAATTTAAATAATAATAATAATAATGCAGAAAAATTAATTGATAAATTATTCTCGTTGGAAAATTTTTATATGATTAAACATGTCGTTGAGTATCAATCCGATAATCTTTTTAAGGTATTCAAATAATACTTAATAATTATGATTTCTCTCTCGTTTCTTCAATAATTTTTTATATAATAATAGCGAATTGTAAATTCATATTGTCCGAATGTGTATGGACAAGAAATTGTTAAAGGTGAATTTTTATTAGATTTTATTAGATTTAACTTTTAGATTTAATTTAACAATTAAACAATTGAATTTTATTATTTATTAAATATAGCTGGAATATTACTTTCAATATTTGGTGGAATTGATAATGGCACAATTAATGTTTTGATCGTCGGTGATCCAGGAACGGATAAAACTGAACTTCTTCAAGCAGCCGGTACAATGTCACCTCACACAGTTTTCACCCCTGTAAATCGGGGAGGTAACTTACCAATTTTACCAATATTACATTATGATAGATTAAGAAGCGATTGGATTCTTGAAGCTGGTTAGTTGATTAATTAAACATTAGACATATATAATGGATATAAGAATATTATAATTTATCATTTAAAATATTAATCCTTTCACTCAGGGTCATTAGTATTAAGTAATACCGGAATTTGTAGAATTGATGATTTTGAGAAAATAGGTCAATTTAATACTCTCGCGGAAGCTATGTCTAGGCTAGAAATTCCGTGTGTGATCTATTTATATTTGTTTACGATGTATGAATGATAATTTTTTCGTTGTTATTTTATATTTCTCGTTTTTTTTTTTACAGGGTTGAAAAATCTGGTATAAAAAGTTTGCTTAATGCAAAAGCTAACATAATGTAAGTTTTAATTCTACTATTTCTTTTTATATAAAAATCTCTCTTTTTTTTTTTGTTCATATATTTACTTCCTTTTTAAATAATAGAGCAGCAGCCAATCCAGTAGGAGGACATTACGAGTGAGTAATTTTCTGAATTTTATTTTTTTTATTTTATTATTTTATTTTTTTATTTTTATTTTATTTTATTTTTTATTGTTTTATTTTTTATTGTTTTATTTTTTATTATTTTATTTTATTTTTTATTATTTTTTATTTTATTTTTATTATTTTTTTATTATCGGATTTTATTTAAAAAATAATAACTTTTTTTTTATTGATAAATAAATTAATTCAGCACAGCAAAAACAAGTTATTATCAGAAAATTTAAAAATTGGAAATGCTCTCTTATCAAATTTCGATCTCGTCTTCTTGTTATTAGACATTCCAGATGAAGAAATGGATCATTATCTCTCTGAACGTGTCATGACGGTATTATTTTTTTAAATATATATTAAAGAAAATATTTTTAAAAAAAAAATATTAAAATATTATTGAAAATAGGTTCATTCTGGAATATTGGCAGATGACAAATCATACAAATCTCAAAGATATGGTGAGCTTTGGATTATTAATTTAATACTAAAGAAATATTTTTTAAAAAAAAACCCATAAATAATTAAAATAATTTATTTAGCTCCTTTAAGTGATTTGAATAAAAACAGAAGTCACATAGTTGATATTCTTCCATTATCCGAAAAATTGAAGATTGGATCAAATGAAAATATGGAATTATTCGACATACCTTTTCTTCAAAAATATATCGCTTATGCACATAAATATGTTCACGAGATGTAATGATGATTATTATTTTTTATTAAGCATGTTTTTATTTTCTTTAATTAATAATAATAATTCTTATAATAATCATAAAAGAAAATTATCTGAGGAAGCACGAAATATGATTAAATTATTCTTTATAAATATGGGACATAAATATCAATCAATGGATGAAACCCCAATTACTGTTAGACAATTAGAAACTATGATAAAATTATCTCAAGCCAGAGCAAGGATGGAATTAAGAAAAGTTGTAATTAGTGAAGATGTAGAAGAAGTTGCTGAAATTATGTAATTATTTTTTTTTTAACTATTCAATAAATTTTTAATTATTTTTAATTGGTTAATCATATTTTTTTTTATTTTTTTTTTAAAAAAATTTTAATTTTTAATCATAGGGAATTTTGCCTTTTCAGAATTCAAAGAGATGAATTTGGAAATGTTCGAATGAAAGGAAAATCCAAAACTGGTAGGATGTTAATATATTACTATTTATCATTTGTCAAATAAAATACATTATTTAAAACATTAAATTATTTAGGTTGTGGTGATAACGGTGGTGGTGTTAGGGGAAGCGGAAGATCTGGGAAGCAAGCTCAAGCGAAGAGGTATTATTATTATCCAATCCAATCAGATGTCATTCTATCGCTTTAATTAACTTCGTATTTGAATCCCTTTATCACTTTTTACACACATTAGATTCTTGGATGAACTTTTTAAATTCGGTAATGCTAAAGGAAGTGATATCTTTTCTTTTCAAGAAATGCAACAAATTGCCAAAGGTAAAAATCAAATATTTGTTTTGTATACAATTATATTTCCATTTAATTAAATTGAAAATGAGATTCATCAGAAAATATTATATATATTAGATTCCGAGTTACGATATGATAATTTTCAAAATTTTATTGATTCGCTGAATGAACAAAATTTATTATTAAAGAAAGGGCCAGGAAAATTTCAATTGAGATCTTGAGATCTTGATGATGATTTTGTTAAAGATTTATTTCTTTAATTAATTTGCCCAATTAGATAGATGGTTTTCGTCACTATATCAATAAATTCAACTATCATAAAAAAATCAAAAACGTCATAGAAACGAGACTATATTACTAATATCATTAAATATTTAGTATCATACTGTATATTAATATGCATAATAATGATTTGATAATCAAAGAAATTAAATAATTTGTTAAAATCGTATGATTTTCATGATATAAATAAACCAACATTTTATTCATTTTTTAAATTTAAAAATCAAAAACTCTCTCTAATTTTTCTCAATTACTCTCAATTACAATAAATCAAAATAAAAAAAAATAATAATAATGGCTCGCACTAAACAAACCGCACGTAAATCAACTGGAGGTAAAGCTCCTCGTAAACAACTTGCAACCAAAGCGGCTAGAAAAAGTGCCCCAGCTACGGGTGGTGTGAAAAAACCTCACCGTTATCGACCTGGTACCGTTGCTTTACGTGAGATTCGTAGATATCAAAAAACGACCGATCTTCTTATTCGAAAACTTCCTTTCCAACGATTGGTACGCGAAATCGCTCAAGATTTTAAAACCGATTTACGATTTCAAAGTTCTGCTATTGGCGCACTTCAAGAAGCAGCTGAAGCTTACCTGGTAGCTCTCTTCGAAGATACTAATTTGGCAGCTATTCACGCGAAACGAGTTACGATTCAACCTAAAGATATTCAACTTGCAAGACGTCTTCGTGGTGAACGATCTTAAATCAATATAATATCAGTAACGTGAATAATATATATAATAATATTCTTTATATCATTTTATATCATTTTATCTGGTATTTTACTTTATATATATTTTAAAAGGAATAATCTGTGAATAATTTGTGAATTTGTGAATAATAATTATTAATTAATAATTATCTTGTTAATACTTGTGAATAATTATTAAGAAAAATAAAAATTTATTGAATTTATTGAAATAACTTTTATCAATGCGTGTAAAAGATTTTTTAATGGATTGGATTCATTTTTTTTTTTTATTTTTTAGAAGATTTTTTGACTTTTATTCATAATAATACAAAGTGTTTCTTCATTTCTTCGTCTTATAAATTTAATTTAGATGAATTTATGACATTAACCTTGTTTAATTCAGTTTAACAAAATCGAGAGTTTCCTAGTTATTCATTCAGATCTTTGATTTAAAAAAAAAAAAAATTCATATCAAACCGTCTAATATCTCAAAAGGATAATAAGCCAACGTTCATAGATTTTCCTCTTCTCAAACATTAAATTTCATTCCAAGAACAATGATAATGTCATCACACACTAAGAACGGACCATTTTTTATTGGTTAACGATGATCAAAAGATCATTATGTTATTACCTAGCATTAAAATAATTTCTACTTTTCAACAGCGTCTAAAATAATATACATTCGACCTTTCTATAGAATCACATCATATAAATGTCCCAAGGGGTGTGACTAAAGAAGGGGTGACTATTTCTTAAAAAGTTGCCCTTCAATATCAACTTTATCACCACCAAACATTGTTCCTAACAAGAATTTAAAATTCCTGCTTTAATCATTCACTCGACTCGAAAAAGGAGACAGTTATTTGAAATATTAAAGAATTTCTTTACTATAAAAACAATAATTATTAAGATTATCTTACTGTTAGATTATCATATTATTATATCATTCTATATTTATTTATTATATTTATTGTATATATATATCAAATCTTTAAATTAGAATCATCTATTCCATATTAATAAAAAAGATTTTTTATTTATTTTACTATATAGGTTTAATTCCCAAAATTAAAAAAGTATTATTTGATTTTCTGAATTAAGAACTTTTCAAATAAAAATACCTGTAATTTGTCTATAACCTCTTTACCAATATATCGTAAACTCTCTTCTATAACTTTAATATCTATAATAAGTATAGTTAAATTTTTGATGCATTTCTGTATTAATCTTTTTTCTATTTTAATAAATAGTTCATTCTCATTGTAATTCAGGTTGAAGTTGAAGTGCAGTTAAATTTGTCTATTTTCCTTTTTTTTCATTCTTATTTGTATATTTCACATAATAATTCTTGTCCAAAAGCTTTTACAGAAAATGCTCTTGATCATTTTGTCATCATGGATCCACTTAACGTATTGAATGGTCTAAAAAAATACATATTATTCTATTTTTCAAATTCGTGTATTATAATAAATTATGTATAATTAAAAAAAAAATTAACTTGTAAATATTCAGTTGCAACTTTAGTAGAAGATTCCTTCGATTTTACTATTTTGTTTGAAATTTTTTCAAATAAAATTCTGAAATTGGTTTATTTGATTTATATTTAATTTCACATTTAACATTGTGTTGTAAATTTCCTTTGTCTGAATAGTTTGAACTATATAATTATCAGGAATTTTTAATTGTTTTTCAACTCATGAACGAGCTGATGTATATTTAAGAATATTCTTAGAAGGATAAAATCCTTCATTAATAAATATTATAAATATATTCAATACTATTTTGTTGTAATAAAAAAGTGGTAGTATCAGGATATTTGTTTTCATTATGAGAAAATAAATGCTCATTTATAATTTATTAAAATTATTTCGCATGACGTAATTAAATTAAAGACATCAAAAAATTTTATTGGACGTCAACTATTCTGGCCCACTCTAGATTGTATAACATTTAATATCTTATTTTTTATGGAAAATAAAAATTGCAATACAGATCAAAACCACCACACCAGCTCCAAGCCCAATCAGTAAAGGTTTTAAATACTTTGGAGAATAAGGGGGAGGGGAGAGGGAAGGGTCAAAATGTGTAACCCACGTATTATTGTATCGTAAAGATATACGTCAGAACTAAACGTATTATTATCTATGTCCCATCCTAGAAAAATTTGATATATGTCATTACTAAAAGAGAAAATGATTATTAAAGTAAAAATTGAAATTTATTTACTTACCAAATGTAATTATCATATAATTATTTTGGAACTACTTGGAATCGACCATTCATATGGATATTTATTTGTATCTAATATAGCAAGGTTAGAGTTAACACTACCTGAACCTGATATACCCCCAAATATAAATATATATCCATCTGGTGCTATATAAAATTTTTTATTTTATTTTTTTTTATTTAGTATTATTTTTTATATTTCATAAATAATAAATAATTTGGATACCTACTCAACACAGAAGTAAAATACCATCTTGAATCAACATCATCACCGGTTGCATTCTTGGAATTAATATAATTGACAAGTTATTATATTATATTTATTTTACATAAATAATATCAAATAAGTACCATATATGACCATTCATTTTTTATTTATGAATAAAATTTGAATTCATCAGTAAATATTTAAATTACTTAAATTCTTAATTTTTGCAAAAGTGGTATAAATTCCTTCCTTTCCACCAAAATAAACAATAATTCCATTTGGTAAAATATTAGTTTAATAGTCATAGCTTGGAGGAAGATTATTAATTATGCTTAAATTTTTCAAGTCATTGAGAAAGTATTTAATATATTCATGTCATTAGCTGTCTGATTGGAATATTATCACTGGTAATTGATGGTTTAGCCTATTTAGAATTAAGGTAATCATATGTATGAACTAGGTTCGAATAATCTACTTCGTATATATCCTCCATTAGAAATACTGTAGAATTATCTAAACTAACGACAGCGGTTGAATAGTACGTATATATAAGACTATCTCCGCTAATTAAAATCCATAATAAGGTATTGATATTTGTATTATTAAATGACTTTGATAAATCCAAATAGAATAATTCGTACGAAGATGTATAGGTAGATCCGCCAAAAATTAAGAGTCGATCATTTACTATCACATTACACTGTTTGGAGAGTAGCATAAAATTGAAGAAATAATAATAATGTAACAAATAAATTTCAATAATTTAGATCTTTTCTTTTAATACTTGAATTTATAGAATGATTAATAAAATTTTTTTTTTCGACTTTTCGTAGTTTGTTGATTCTTGCGTTACGTTACAATTTTGATTATTTAATTCAAGTTTTTGTTATCAATATGTGAATTTTTTAGTTCTAATTTCAATATTTCTAACAGTTATTTCAAAAATCTTATTTCTTCTTTTATGAAAAATAAAAATTGTAATACTACTATACAACCCTATAAAAACAATATACTTACAAAATATCTGAAAAAATACACTTAAGGGTCATTTAATTATTTATGAAAGTACTTAATGTATAAAAATGGACAAAATAATCTTATGTACAAATTGTATTCATAAAATCTATTAAAAGCACACACCGCTAATTAAGTTATTATAATTATATAAAAAAATATTTAAGTTTATTAATTTAGTTTTTAAAGTTTTAATTCACAATTTTCTTTTTTTAGACGTCTACATAATAAGCACCTGCCCCGAAGTATGATAATCTAATTAACGGAGAAATATTTAAAGTTTAATTAATTTAGATAGCATGTTTACATATTTTAAATATATCTTATTTTTTATTTATTTTTAAAGCTTTGAAATCGGGCATTACATTTTTGAAGTAGAACCTGTCTATAAACATACTTGTATAAGAATAACCTATCTTTAAGCATATAATTTTTCTGCCCAAGGTTACATGGTTTATATATCATATATAGCATAACCTGTTTAAAATGTATAGGATTTTGCTTGTCCCGAGGGTGTTCTTATAGACAGGTTCTACTGTTCTACCTTCTTGGATCTTTAAAAATTACCCTTCTTTGAGATTGGATCTATTGCATTATTGTATGGATCTTGGATATTTGAAAATTCTTATGATCCTGGGTTTGGGACTGTGTAAGGTAAGATTTTTTAATTTATAAATTTTTATTTAAATTTTTTTAATACTTTCCTTCTTCCTTGTACATTTAAAATATATATTTAATATTTATAAGTAGCAAATAAAAAAGATTCAGAACATCACATGAGTAAGGTGATCATGATATATAAATTTGTAATTTTTATTATTTTTGATTGTTATTTTAGCGATTCTATAAATTAAATTACGATTGTTGTAGTATTTTATATAAATATTAAGAAGTGAATCTAGATTGGATTATTGATATAGAGGAAGGTAATGCTGAATGTATTGATAATTAGGAAAAATCCTTTGGAAAAGTTTATTCTTAATTTATTTCTTATTTATTTCTTTCATGAATTTAAATGGCATGGTTAGATTTTCTATTTTATTTTATTTTTTTAATTATTAATTTTTTAACTTTAAATGTTTCCCATAATATAAAATGCTATTATAAAACCCATTAGTGGTGCGATCCGCGGATAAATTTATCCGTCACGGATATGTGCAACAAATGAAATGTGATGGGATTAATACGTTGGCGAATGACCTTTAAAGAATATAATCAAATGTATAATTTTCTACTCCGTAATACATATTATGTAATACACGGATATCCGTAAAAATACATAGTAATTCATACCACTATAATCCATATATTAAATTTCATATGAAATTCCGATTCATTTGATTTAGAAGTTGGTTTGTTAGGAGCACTATTTGTAGAAACTGTAGATTTCAAAATACCATACTAGTACTCTCATATAAATCACAACTTAATTAAAAATTGAGATTATAATAATGGTACTTGAAATCAAAGAATTAAAATTATTTGTTAAATATTTTAAATATAAAGATTTAAGATCAAAATTCAATTGCTGTTCTAGCTATCTTAAGATCTGGACTTTCAACCTTTTTAAACTTTTTACCTATCACTGTTCAAGTCCAATTAGCGAAGGTTTCAAAACTTTGAAGAATCGGGGGAAGAAATGAAAGTGGAAGTGCGAATGGGATAATTCGAGAAAGGGAAAGGGAAGGTTAAAATGTGTAACCAATATTATTTGTTATATCAAAAGATATACTTTGTATTGCAGTATCTGCATCCTATCCTAATAAAATTTGATAAATATCATTACTATGATAGAAAAATGATTATTGTAAATATTGAACCTACAGTATTTACTTACCAAACGTAATTATCATATAATTATAATATAAATTTGCTATATGTCCATAAATAGATGGTGGAGAATTGACTTTGGAACAACTTGGAATCGACCATTCATATGGAGATTTATTTGTATCTATTATAGCAAGGTTTGAGCTAACACGAGTTAAATTGAATGAACCCCAAATATAATAATGTATCCATTTGATGCTATATGAAAATTATTACTTTAATATAAATTTTTTATATTTCAGAAATATTATAATTTGGATACCTACTCAACACAGAAGAAAAATTCCATCTTGAAGCCAATATCATCACCGGTGGCATTCTTAGAATTAAATATAATCAATAAGTTATTATTATATTTATTTTATATAAATAAATTCATCTTTTTTTTTGTATCAAAGAGTTAACATATTTGACAATAATATATTAATACAGTGAACTCTCTATAAATGTACCTCCCGGGGGAATCAGCATTAGGATGTATTTATAGAGGAAATACATTTATAGAGGGAAATTTATAAGTGTTATTGGGCTGAATTATAAAATGGATTAATAGAGGGGTGCACTTATAGAGAGTACATTTATAGAGGGTTCACTGTATTTATGAATAGAATTTGAATAATCTATCAGTACATATTTAAATCACTTACATTTTTCATTTTTATAATAGTTACATTTGACAATAAAATACTAGATGAATAATCAGAGAAAGATTATTAGTTATGGCTAAATTTTCCAAGTCATTCAAGAAGTATCCAATGCATTCAGTTGTTTCCAGTAAGTGTTATTATATTACCCATGATTCCACCAAATATATATATAATTCCTGGATCATCAATTACTGCCTGATTTTGATGGTATAGTGCATTTAGAATTAAAGTAATCATATGTATAAACTTGGTTTCAACGAGTATATCCTCCAATTAGAAATATTGTAGAATTATCTAAACTAACGATAGAAGTTGAACTTTCCGTACGTGAATTAAATTCTATGATATTCAGACGATAAAGTAGTATTTGTTTTTTATTTCAAATATTAAAAATGTATTACTTATTTAAATTATTTAAATTTATTTATTACGTTATTTTTAATTAATTCAATTTTATGCTATGACCCAGATTTCATAATAGTGTAATAATAAATTATTGACTCTTAATTATTGACGAAAAAAGGATTTATTTAATTCCTTTGAATTTATAGAATGATTAATTAAATTTTTTTGCCTTCTCTAATTTCATTGATTCTTGTCGTTTATTTGCAACGGATATCAAAATAGTAATAACAAATGTGTATTGCATTACAATTATAGTCTTGTAGTTACATTAAAATCATAGTAATGCACAATTATATAATGGTCATTATGATTAAAAGATGCAATTCGTGAAAAATTTTAAAAGTGAATATGATTATTTCAACAATTATAATTCAAGTTTTTTATCATCCGTAATTTACGAATATGAGAAGTTTTAGTTCTAATTTCAATCTCTACTTCCAGCTATTTCAAGAACCTTGTTTATATTTTTTAAAAAAATTAAAATTTTTCCTATAAAAAAATTTTAACTTATATTTCACATGTATTGCTATCAATAAATAACTCACTAGTACTTATAAATGTACATTTATTCAATTTTATTGTCAATCGAGTCAGAAAGTAATAGTTGATTAACAATACGTAATATTTTCACAATTTATTCCTCCTTTTTTTTTGTGTTATTTTCCCATCCATTTATTTTTTATGACTGCTATGAATATTATATAATGATTTGTACAGTTAAAAATGATATCCAAAACTGGTGTTTAAACAGGATAATTCTCCAATCCATATCATAAAAAAGCTATTAGACAAAAAAAAATTAAAATGAAGAACTGACAGTAAATTCTCCCGACCTTAACCCCATAGAATACATCTGAGAATTGTTAAAGAACAATATTCAGAAACAAAAAATCATTCAAAAACCGTAGATGAGCTCAAGACTGCTTGAGTGAATCAAAAAACAGAATCAATCTATTTGTCAAGGTATCCCTCTATATTGGGTATTTCTATCGTATTTCTTGGGCTACTTTGCACCATTACTACTTCTTTGCTTTGAAGTACAAAAAAATTCTGTAATTCTTGTTCTCTGTCAAGAAAATTACCTTTGTTCCTATGAAATCATATTCTTTAATCTCATTTTTCTTGACATCACATCATCTTGATAAAATGTCACATATGTAGAAGGATTATTATGTATGCAGCTAGATTCTTCTTTAAAACGAAAGTTAGTCAAAAATAATTGACAGAAAGAGATAATTTTATCACTCTTTGCAATTAATATAATTTATGGTGATTGTAAACCACGTGACTTATGATTGACGAAAAATCGAATCGGCAAAAAATTTATTTTGCTTATGTTAAAAAACAGTTGGGTTTCTACAGCTTGTACACCCTAATCACATCATTTTTTGCCTACTTTTAAATAGGCGTAACTTCTAAAAAGTAATTTCGAGAGGTAAGGTGGTAAGATCATGAGCTACAAATGTATGATTTGTTAAATATGATTGACGAAAATAAAGTTATAATTGGTATATTGAAAAAAATATACATACATATAAAAAGTTTGCTGAAAAAAGGACAAAAAAAAATAATAATAATCGAAACAAATAATGATAAAGAAATTATATGGGAGATGATGAATTACTTTAATCTTTAAAATAAAAATCAAAGTAATTTTGATGAATTATTTCAATCTTTAAAATAAACTTTTTATCCAAAATACATCTTAAACTTTATTGAAGGGTATTGGAGGCTGTTAGAAAATATTCATGAAATATTGTGATTGCACCTGGTCTGGTTTGAAGAGTTCCATTATCTCAAATTAGAACATTTGCCAAGAAAATTTTATCATTATATGAATGCATATAAAGGACCAAATCAAAAACATAATTCCCAATTTTATTTTTAGAACAAGATTTAATAAAATAATTATATAATCTTGGCGACTATTATTTACGTTAATTTTGTTAATTTTGTTAATTTTGGAACCTTCAAAATATTTTTATAGTTAATTAACTGGTTAAAAAAATATTTTTAGATACAGATAATTTATTTTGTCAGGATTTTACCGTCCGAATTTTTATAGGTCAATTTTTATAGTTAATTAAAAATATAATCTTTCAAACTAAAGTTGAAAAGAAAAAAGACTGAACTTGAACTATTAAACTAAATTAAAAACAAAAACTATTGAACTGTAATAAATTCATGGTTAATTAGTTTAATTGTTTCCACATAATTAATTGGTTAATTAACTGGTTAATTAAAAAATAAACAGTCAATTAACTGGTTAAAGATTTTTTTGGAGGTTCCAGAATTTATTAATTTCTGATAACTGAATCATAAACGGCAAAAACAAAATTCTCAATAGAACGGGTAAATAATGGCTGTACCAGCTTAGTTAATCGAAAACAAGATTACAAAAATATTTATTCACCGCCACAACATGACAGAATTTTAAAGAGTTTGATTAATTCTTATATCTTTTTTTTTTCTCCAATACATCTAGATCATGTGGATTGATATGAAATTTCGAGAAATAATTAATAAATATTTGGTGGTCTTTCTTTGGTGTTGGTGGTTGAAATTCATTCTTGAAGCTAAGGGTGAATGTGATTCACAAATATATTGTTCAGGATCACTTCTTAAAAAAATACAATTATCAGGAATATATAATGATTCAAAAACTTTCGTGGACAAGGTAAAAATGTTTGATGATTATAATAAAAAAATAATTATAAAAATAAATTATAAATACAATAATAATTTTTTTAAATTAAGCCTACAATAAAACCATTAGATGAAGTTTTAGCTGCTGCATCACTTCTTCCCGAAAATAGCACAAACGACGAATTACAAAATTTCTTATCAACTTATTTTGGACCAGAAGGTCAAGAATTAATTCTTGTCAATATCACCAATTTTAATTCAACTCCATCATTTCTCCAAAAAATCAAATCCCCATTACTTCAAGAATTTGCTAAACGCGTTCATAATTATTGGCCAAATTTAACACGTGAAGTTAATCAAAGTTTTATGTGTGAAGGATGCGTCTCAAGCTTTATAGCGTTAAATAGAACTTTCGTCATTCCCGGTGGCAGATTTAGAGAGATTTATTATTGGGATAGTTATTTCATTATTGAAGGATTGTTGGTTAGTGAATTGTATGATATTGCGAAAAATGTGATATTAAATCTTTTGGATTTAGTTGAAATTTATGGTTTTGTTCGTAAGTAAAAAAAATTATTAATAATTTTATAATTTAATAACTTATAATTTATAATTTATAATTTTATTTTGTTTTAAGCAAATGGTTCAAGAATTTATTACCTTAATCGATCACAACCACCTTTACTCGTCCAAATGGTAAAAATTTATTATCAAGCCACCAATGACACAACCTTACTTTACGATGCATTCCCAATATTAATTAAAGAATATAATTTTTGGCGTCAGAATAATTCAATTCGTATCATTTCTCCAAAATCCAAAAAACTTTATACATTAAATCGTTACATAGTGAATAATAATGCACCACGTCCAGAAAGTTATCTTGATGATTTTAATACAGTAGAACTTAATAATACATTAAATTCTACCGCAAGGGAAGAATTATATGCAGATATAGCGACGACAGCAGAATCTGGATGGGATTTTTCATCAAGATGGGTTAAAGAACCATTCAAGAATTCATCAACAAATGATAATAATTATGAAATTCTTCGAACATTAAATGCTGATGTTATAATACCAATAGATTTAAATTCTATTTTATATATGAATGAAATTACTTTATCAGAATTTTCTGAGAAAGTTGGTGAAGAAAAGATGATTGATACATTTAAGAATGCTGCCAAGAAGAGATTAGAAGGAATTACGGATTTATTTTGGGATGAAGAATTAGAATTGTTCATGGATTATAATATTTCAAGTGAAAGTAGATCCGAAGTGTTTTCATTAGCTTCATATTTTCCATTTTGGTATGTAATATTAATCGCATAATTTTTTTATTTTTAAAAAATCCAATATAATTATTTATTTTAAAATAATAATTCATTTGATATAATAGGGCTGAATCTCTGCCTAAAGATTTTATCACCAATTCTACAACAATTCTTGACACATTTTCATACATCACCGATCTTTTATCAAAATATCCGGGATCCCCACCAACCACACTTATTAATTCGGGTTTACAATGGGACTTTCCAAATAGTTGGCCACCATTGAATTATGTTTTAATTAAAGGTTTAATAAATTTTCATCATCGTGATGATAATGATAGTGAAAGTGAAATTAAAGAATTTATCATGAATTCGACAAAAAATTTAAGTCAACGATACGTAGATTCAGTACTTTGTGCTTGGTATTCAACTGGTGGATCAATACCTGGGTATTTGAATAAATTATCAGGAGTTGAAGATACTGGTCATATTTTTGAAAGTAAATATCAAAAGTAAATCTATTTTTTTTTTTTTTTTTAAAAAAAAAAAAAGAATTGTTTATATTAAGTTAATATTATCCTTTTGACATTAACATTTATACCAAATTTTATTTTTTTTTACTTTATAGAATATAGTACACTTGAACTTAGTTTACCAGGTGGCGGTGGAGGTAAACAAACATGTTTCTATTTGCTGTATTTTTATTTGTTACGATTCGTATTAAAAAAAAAATAATGTAATATATAAATTTTATCCAAAATATATAAATAGAATATGATGTCCAAGTAGGATTTGGATGGACGAATGGAGTCTTATTATGGATTTTTTCAAATTTTGGAGATATATTAGAAGAACCAGAATGCTTATCTGATCTGACATAAAATAACCGTTTGCAAATTATCAATTATCAATTATAAAGTCACATCAATGATATAATCCCACATTTCTTAAATTAGTCAAAAACATACTGTATAACATCAATAATAATAATAATAATAATAAATAATTTATTATTATTTGAAATAAAATAAAACCAAATATATTTTTATTGTTAGATTAATATAAATGTAATATAAATACTTTTGAGGCCGATCGTGCCTATATATTATTTTACATGCCAAATAGGTGTCGCGTGTTGAGAGATCTAATAATATCTAAATTCTAAATTTATCGAAATTATTGTTTGTAATTATTGTTTGTAATTATAATTATTATTGTTCATCTAATATACTATACTAGTAATTAAAATCTAATTGAAATATATTATTGTTCATGCTAATTAAAATATACATATATATATAAAATATGTTTAAATTTACTAAATTTACTCAAAAGCTGTCGCCCTACTTTTGAGATCTGTCTAAAAAAATAATCTACGTACGCGCATATATGTTGAGTGGTTGATATATAAAAATGTTTTGTACAGATGCAAGTAGTGGTATTATGAAACATATTTAGCTAAAAAAAGAATAATACAGAAATGTTTGATAAAATGCATGGAAAGTGTGTAAGTTTTTTAAAAAAGAATTGTCTAACAAATTTTGGAAGAAGCCACTATTTGTAATAATAACGATCTGTTTGTATTAAGAGATAGAATAATATGAATAATATTAAGAAAATTTCATAAGATTTGGAGTTGAATATTTAAAAGTTCCATTAGATATAAAGAAAAAAAAATATAATAAAAATTTTGAAGCTGAATGTCCCAATGTTTAGAAAAAAGATATGAAAATAATGAAGTTTTAAGCGTCACAATAAAAGTATATGAAATCTTGAGGTTACGACCCGGAAATTAAGGGAAAAAAAAGGAAAATCCCTATAGATATTAAAAAATGAGATCCAACAAAAAATTAAACCTTGATTACACAACCAGAAAAAAAAATCACATAGGGTCCATTCCAACGTCTTGATATTAAGATATAAGAACAAGAAATTCGAGACATCGAACAGGTATAAAGAAAGTAACTTCGATATCATTTTACAAATACTAAAAAGATAATACATAACGTGACTGGAAGAGACGGCCAATAACGTAGAGATCATTTTCCAATATTTCTGATATGTGTGTCCAATAAGTGAAAAGAATGTCAAAAATTCAAAGAAGTTGTCCATCATTCCAATAAAGAAGTTCTTTATCCCAAGTTCAGCCTTCCACAGGAAGCCTCTTTTTTGGTTTTGGGGTGCGCTTTGGTCGGGTTGACAAACTATTCGTAGCTCTCCAATCAGCAGGTAGAGCAAATCTGAAATCTTCATCTGTAACCGTTGCGGGAAAGTTCCAATAATTTTTTAATATTGCTACGACTTTCTGTAATGACGTGACAGCGGACTGGAAAAGCATTTATAAATAATTTATTAATATTTGAAAGATTTAGTTAAAGGTCAATATAATCTGACGTATAAAAGATATTTACTTGATTGGGCTTTACTGTATTTAGACCACCATTAAATTTATATTGTTCGATTGGAGAAAGATCAGGTCCGAGCATTGCCGACAAACAAGCGCAAGCTGATTCAGAGAGTGATTCTAACGCATATCCACCTATGTTACGGTAAAGAACATATTTAGTTGTTTAGTAATTACAAGAGTTATTCTACAATTGCGTATATTATATCAAATAAACAACAAATAACGAACCTTCTAGCGCAAGTACAAGTTTACCGTTGGCTAGATTTTTCAACATCTGCGTCATATAAGCGAATCCTATAATAAAACGAACAATTGTATCGAATAATTTCTTATTATTTGTTAATATAAAAGGTGTTAACAATAATAATTAACATAAATTGAATAAATACCTCGCGGAGTAATCTTATATCCACCAATCTTTTTTATACAAATTTAATAGGATTAGTATTTTCGTTCAAAAAAGTATCAACCCAATATTTCATTATAAATAATACTTACTGCATCCTCGTGACCTTCAGCTGCATCAAACCCTGCAGATACAATTACTAAATCAGGGTTATATTGTCGGGCAATCGGCATTACGATATATTTAAAGGCGGCAAGATATTCGATATCTCCCATAGACTCGAACCCTGTTATGATCGAGTTGTTATTATATTTTTTAATACAATAAACTAAATTATTGTAATAATTAATATATATACTTACTGTCTTTCTCAGATGAAAAGGTAATATTAACGTTGTTTCCTAATCCTTCACCCGTACCAAGATCAGTAGTTGGGCCGGAGTATGGGTAAAACAATCCATTGTCATAACGATGTAAAGAAATATATAGTACGTCGTTACGACCGTAGAAAAGGCTTTGTGTTCCATTACCGTGGCTACGTTTCAATAAACCAATTTGTTTAATTAAATAATCATTATGACAAAGAAATAAAACAAATGAACTTACTGAATATCCCTGTGGTGAAATATAAAAAATTAGTCGATTTCAATGCATAGAATAGAACTTTACAAATTTCCAAAAATATTTCTAAAGATTGAGTATCTTTACTTACCAATCGACAATCAATACTTTTTTGATTTTCTCCGGGTAGTTCTTTAGGGCCATGTTTGCTGCAACACCTTTATATATATATATATAGTAATGAGTTAGCAACATTTAATTTAAAGAAGATTCAATATTGAAACAAGTTACTAACCGACATTGTTAAAGTAACAAAATCCCCTGTATATTAAAAAAAAAAAATAGTGATTTCAATTATATATAAATTATTTCTCACCATTAATCTGAAAACGAAAACTTACATGGCATGATTTTGTTCTGCGTGATGGCCAGGTGGTCGAACTATAGCGAACCCATTTACAACTCTAAAAGAGAATATTAAGAATAAAAATAAATTTTAAAAGATTAAACTTGATGAAACTTAAATAATTAAATTAGATATTTACCTCCCAGAGACGACAGCATCCATCATTTCTATGACGGAACCCGCTGCCATCCTTGCTGCGTTTGGTGTCCCGTAGGGATTATATGTTGTGTCGCAACTTATTCCTAATTCACCACATAACATTTTATCTTTAAGACTGGGTGGGGCCCAATCTTCGCCGTTCTTTACGATCGTACCCGGCATAGTATATGGCTTCGACCCAAAATATGTCACCACGTGTTGGCCAAGGTGGCAAGACTCCAATTCATCTTTCGTTGCCATCCGAGAACGCAATCGTTTAACCTTTCGGAGTAGGCTGTTTTTTCATTGATTTATAAATTTTTATTGTAAAGGTTGTACATACAAAACAATAAATAAATAATTACCCAAGTGTTTCGAATTTTGCCATTATTTCCACGCATCTCTCGGGCCTTTCTGGATGGCGGTTCAACTGCCGGTCTTTGACGCATGGGCAGTCATGTAATAGCATGGCGTCGTCAAAGACAACGCCCGTATGTAATCTGGCTCGGCGTCCTTCTTCGCTTGAATATTGTTTTCGGTAGTCTTGCCAGGATTTTGAGTCGTCTCTTCCATTAGGTCCGAATTTGGCATCTTTGGGACATGCCTTTATGTCGAGTTGGGTCACCATTTTTGCATGTTCGGGACCCCATCCTTCAGGCTGAACAAATATCAGCTCTTGAAGCTGCGGGTCTACGGAGGGGAGGTTAGGAAGATTTATGTCCAATATTCGCGCAGCAACCAAGGTTTCGTTGCCCTCTTTGTATGCTACACTGTCTCCTACATATAAGATTGTTCCTTCCGCATTGGAGAAGAAGGGAAGGCTTGCCACGATCTCGGCATCTTCTTGGTCGTTGCTATATATTACTCCGCTCTTGGGGCTCTGACTTTGAGAGTCTTCTGAAGGAGTTTGAGCAATAAGTGCTCTAACTTCATTACTGGGCGTAGTGACATCGTTATCTCCACCAGACTTTAGGTTTTTTCATATAGTATAGTATTAATTAGTATTAAAAAAATTATATTGTGTCATGTAGGAATAAATCCGGAAAATTGACCGATAATCCATCCGATAATTAACATTAGCATATGCCACATCGGGAACGAATGTAACAGTTTATAGAACAGTTTGGAAGTTCGAAAGTGCATTATTTATTGCGAAAACCTAAATGATATTTCTGGAAATTAAAAATCGAAAAATATTTAATACCTCGATATCATTTATTTCAGTTGGGGAAAGCGGCCAGAAGTCAACAGGGTCGTTTATGCTGTATTCTATAGGACTACTTGGCCAGAAGTCAGGAGAGGGAGAAGGAATGTTATCCTCAATCTTTTGATGCTTTGCGGAAGTATCACATGTTATAGTTGAGTTCTTTCGCTTCATGATGATTGATTTAAGAGAAATGTCAAGAGATTTATGACTAAAGATAAGATGAAAGAATAGATAAATGTCAAAAGTTCAGGGAAAAACGAATTAGAGAAATTCGAAATATTTATTTTAACAAAATTACCAATCAGAGGCAGTAAAAAATATCATAGGATGACGAAATTACCACGTGAGTTAAGAATAAGGTGTTATACTTTAAATTATTCGATTCTAATAATAAGATTAAAATAATAATAACAATAATAATGATAATAATGATGATAATGCTAGTTGGAGTTTTGATAAAAAAAAAGGGTATTAAATATTTTTAATATTTTTATATTTTAAAAATTTTTAATAACAGATAATGAATAAAAGTGTGAATAATAAATTCAATGAAATAAAATGTCACTAATAAAAGTAGATAGTGAGTTAAGTACCAAACAGAAAATTAACTCTGTTTTTAGATTATTTTTTTTTGTTTGAATCATACTTCCTATCTTTTTTCAGTTACCTAAAAGGTCACAACAGGATTATCCAACATTACAATACAAACAAAAAAATATAGTCGATATGAACTAATAATACCCTAATAATGTAATGAATGCAAAAAAAGAAATGAACTTTACCCAGTCAGGGGATTGTGTAGCGAAGATCAGGTAGTACTCGCTTATTTCTATAGTAATTTCTCGGAAAAAATCTTTTAAAGTAAATTGGATGAGATGATCCTACCCCCCACATTTTTTTATTAGCAAAATTTTATGACAGGGCCATTTTTTTTTTAATTCAAGGGATACATATAGTCAAGTGAAAATTATAGAAAGTTGGCATTCTGCACTACGATTATTTCATGATTATTTGTTTTCTTTTTCTTTGTTTGATTATTTACATAAAACTGCACAACTCGCCATGAAGAAGAATGGAAGAATAAAAATTTTTTATGACGATTCAAAGAAATGTTACACTTATTATGTCTGTTGTCAGAAATAACAATATAATAAAAGATTGAATACAAGTCAAGCCTTGTGTACCAGGTCAATTTTTTTTAGGCTTTATTCTATTTATTACAGTATAACGAATCTTTGAATTGTGAAACTATTAAGTTAGGTATCACTTCTAAATGTCGTAATCATAACCTGAAAATTTATTAAAATATTTATATAGATAATTACCTCGAAGTCCAGAATTATTTTCCAAGGCATGATAATAATCCTTATTCAGTAAGACTCAGCAGGATAAACTTAAAACAACAAAAAATAAATAAATAAAAATTGAATCTCGCGAACGGAAACAATGAAATATAATAAGATATAATTATATATTCCAAAAATATAAAACAATAATGTTGCACAAAGGGAATGAGCGAATTGTGAAACAAGAAAAATATGATTCGCGCACACAATTTACATTCCTAGAAATGATCCAGAGAAGCTTTTGAAATATTATCAATGTTATCATTATCTGATCGAGCCTGTTTTATTTTTCTTATTTTATTGAACATTCATTTCCCTTATTTAATAAATATTGGCATTTATGCTATTAATCACGATTCCTATTGATCATTTCAAGATCACCTACAAACTTCTCACGGTATTAGCATACGAGATCAATTAATTTTTAATCATTCATATACAAAAATGCTGTACAAGAATTTTTCGAGAAAAATTTTTTGCAACAGTAATATGCTTCACAATTCTAATCAAGAAAATTTTCTACCCCCAATAATACGATTTCGCAAAGTCTCCCCATGCTTTTTTTCGTTCTAATTCAAAATCTGTGGGTGTAATAAAATCATTTTTTTATAAAATAAAAATAAAAAAAAAAAATAAAAAAAAATAAAATAAAAATAAAATAAAAAACGTTACTCTCAGCGAGCTAAAGCATACAATAGTATTATTACAATAAATTACAATTTGAGAATAAAAAAATCACTAAAACTAAATGAGAAAATTCTAATCTAGTTTACCACCTGACTAGCTGCTATGAAGTGTAACATCTGAAAATATTTTAATTGCGAAAGCTATGATACTGGATTAAATTTTATGCATTCAGGGCAATGGAGTTCTTCACCTGGGATTCTAATGATAGTTCCAATGGCCTAGAACAAATCCACAAAATATATGAATAAAAGATTTTATTGCATAAAGTAAAAAAACAAAAATAATACCAACATACCTTTCTATATCTTCAAATATAAACATTATCATACCACCATCTTTTCCTTTAGCTCTAATTATTGAATTTATGTATATTTAAAACCATAAATTAAACATGTTCTTTACTATTAAGTGAAACATGTAATGGTCCTAGAATTGATTTCATTTGGCATTGTGAATTTTATTTATATAAATTTGTTATTGTTTTTACCTGTCTAGAAAAATCTGTCACTAATGAAACTATTTTATTAGTAGAAACACATTGAAAAATTAACAATTTTTGACATTCCATGTATATGTATCAAAATGTTCAATAAAATTCTTCCAGAATTCCTTGCTCTGATGTGAAGGATTATTTAAGGTATGAAAGTAATAACATTTATAGTCTCGTTGGCTTTTGCCATAATATTTGAATTGCTAAACTTCTCGAGATATATTAAAGTTTGGACATCCATGTTCTGGTCTTATAATATATTAAAACTGTATTAATCCTTTTAGCAAATGAAAAGAAGAGTCTCGAAATTCTGACAACTCTTCTCTCATAAAGTATTTTATAGATTATTTACAAATCCACAATTCATTACCAGGTTATTATTATTTGAAGAAAATGTATTAATTTTTTAGAAATAATTTTACTTGTTCACAATATACTGCTATAAAATGTGTTTCATCATCATGCACTTTACAAATTTTCTATAACTTTTATAAAGCAATCAAGTAAAATTGATATGAACTAATGTATTTGTTACAAAATAAATTTACATATATTGAATAATAAATTATTTTTTCTATATCTCATTATATTGATACTTCACAATTACAAAATAAACAAAAATATTTGAAGTTTGAAATAGTTAATCCTAGTAATTATATACATTGTTTTCCAATCTCCACAGAAAAACAATTTGCTTATTTGTAAATATATTAGCCTATTTGTCTAATTTTTAACCAGTTACATGTGAATGTGTATATATTTTATAAAGATATCTATGTTTGTTTTTATCTTTAGCTACTTCACAAATTATTCTTGTTTATTTACAAATTATCTTTGGCTATTTTACAAATAATTTGTCCATTTACAAATATTTCTAATCATATTTGTCAAAAAATTTTCTTATTTCTTATTATTCAACTCAACTCTATTACTTCTTTGCAAAAATTTTTAATTTCATTTCCAAATAAGCTTGTCTAACAATCTATATATTGCAAGAAAACTTGATAACACATTCCTCTCCTTATGTTTGAGCTCTTGTGAAAACTCAGGAACTCAAAGGAGAATTCATTGATTCATTTCTTGTTGTTATTGTTTCAATCATCATTATCTCTTGAAAATAAGTCTTGAATAAGTATCATAATATGTAACATGATATATTTGTTGTACTGGATATATTAAAAATATGATATTACATATCTACATTACAAAATAATAGTATTTTTTTACCTGTGATATTAATACTAAATGTAATAAAAAATTTATACAGTTCATTCTTATTAATTGAAGGTTGACTATAATTCATAAGAATTTGTACTGTACTAAGTTGCTGAACAAAGTAGAAAGCTTCAAATGGCATAGTCATAATTCAACATGTCATAATTTCTCCTAAAGTAAAGAGTAATTAATGATATAAATCTTTAACATTGTCATAAAATTTATAAATGAAAAAATAATTTTTTTTTGACATATCAACATATCCATTTGTGTAAAAATGAATTAACTTGTTCTGATCATTATAAGATTTTGTCTGTTGATTTCTACTATCTTTGTTTGAAAAATATTGAGAATATTAAATTTGATTTATTTATCCTTGATCCAATAATATATTTATTCTTCATATTTTGACACTCATTTCTTGTTAAAAATCAGAACGTAAAAAAAAATATACTCTACAGTGCTTTTTAATATATTATTTACTAATTTTAACTTTCACCTCTGAAATTGTGAAAAAGACATGTAAAATTTTAAGTAATATATTTATAACTTTCATTATAAATATAGATGTATTTGAAGTCAATTGTGATATTTGAATGCATTTTAAATATTTCATTAATGGCATCTTCTAATTATATTTACAAATTTTTCTAATGATATATATCTAAAATTCATTTTTCTTGAAAAGTCCTTTGATGTAAATACAATATCTAATACTCTAATTATGTTATGATCTTCAATGTTGAAATTGAATCTTTCTTGTCAAAATAAAAAATACCATTCTAGTAGATATGATAAAAGATCTACAAATTTTGAATAAGCTTTTTCATTTAGAGTCCAACTGATAATAAATTATAGTAATTGGCAAGATTTGGAATATGATTATAATGAATAAAAAGTTATTATTTGGAGACATGTTTTATCCACTTGATTTTAGGATTATTATGTCAACAGCAGTATTGAAAATATATTATAATCAATTTCAGTTGCATATATAATTAATCTTATCCTTTGATATCAAATTCTTTTCCTTGATTTAGAATGTTTTTTACAGATCCAGTTACTATCAGATTCAGCTTTTTGTGAAAAGGTTTTTGTAACTAAAATAATACATATTGATAATGTACTTGATAGAAAATAAGTAAATAATTTTTGTATTAATTTTAAATAAATTCAGTTGTGAAGTAGTCAAAAAATAATCAAATAAAATTATAAACCTATAATTTTTGATTAAGACTGAATTCAGAAGTTGGCTTCAAACTTGTAAATTGAATATTGAAACCTATTATTTTAATATATTTTCTATGGATTATTTGATTACCATTATGAAGCCTGCTTGTGATTGAAAGAAAATCACGTAAAAATCTAAGTATTATTATTTTTAATACATTATTTTCAGATGGTACTAACTCAACAAATATTGATATAAAATTATAAAATAACTACTATTGTGAAGCTTGAAATGAGAATGATACTAGAACCTCTTAATAGAAAATTGCTTCCTATATGTAAAATTAATCTGATATATAAAAAATAAATAAATACAGTAAATATATATCTTTAATCATTCAAACTAGTCTTGATGAATACTAGTGTATTGATGGATTACGTAATCATAATTAAATAATTGCAAATCGTTTTTTACACAAAAATGAGGTTTTAATAAAATAGTATGAAGATGAATGCTAATTAATCGCATTTTACTTTATTTGTAGTTTCTTTAATAATAATTTATAAAATATTTATATAAAAAAATCTTTTTGTGTAAAAAAAAACGGTTCTTTAGACTTGAGGTGAGGTTTCACAAACATAACATCATAAAACTCATTGCAAATTACATGAAAAGTAATGTAAAAAAAATCCTACCAAAGGGCGATTAAATGAAATTTGTAAAAAGAACTTGCAACAGAAATAGACCTATTCTTATTATCTCCGGCCTTTGGTGCCCTTACGATCACAGATAACAAACCATCGTCATCCGACAAAATTATTCAACTTGAGAAATAAATATAAACTGAAATAGCTCGAAAGATATGTAAAAAATGGGTCTAAACGGTATTTATTTCCAAAATGATTGCCTACAAACGTTGGGCCTGCGAGAAATAATTTAAGAGATTCGAAAACATAAATTATGGAAAAAGTAAAAAAAAAAAAAAAGTATCGACAAAAAAAAATGAAGACTTTGTAATAAATGATAGGAAATAGCATAATTATGTTATTTCCGCTCCACTAAGCCACGACTACTACGTATATGTGCGCGAACCAACAAACAGCAGACACAACACATTAAGGGGGGTGATCGTAAAAATAAATAGTAAAAAGATCGATAAATGTAAATAATAATATTTAAAAAATCCACAAATTAAGGTTAATAATAGAAAAATCAAAAAAATCAAGGTTTAATAATAGAAAAATCCGGATTAAATGCCAGATTTTTTTTCCAAAAATGAATAACATTGGTCAAATGTGAAAATTTGATAGTAATTCATAATAATTTAATTGGGAGTATGCGCCCATCAAAAGCCTTATTTAAAAACTCTAATTTAGCCGAAACTTGATTTGATCCTAAAATAGACATTATTCCAAAGAATGAAAGAATGAGAATAAACATGAACGTAAATTTCCTTTTTTTTTTTCTTTTTTTTTTCTACCTTTCTCATATCCAGTTTACTTGTATATAATATGATGTTATCTAAAAAATTTATTTGAAAAGAACAATTATTCCTTAATATTCAATATATCGATGAATTTTTAATTCCATTTAAACGATATAACTTGATTTTTATATAATTATATTTTTTATATAATTATATTATACATTATATTATATTATATATATTATATTCATATTTAAAGATAATATCCGGTTCATTAAAATTCATTAATAAATAATAATGTCACGAAGAAGAAGTCCGGGACGAAAGAGAGGTGATGACGAGTATATACCTTCCAATAGTGAAAGTGAAGATAGTGATTCTCCAACTGAGAATACTTCGCGTCCGCTGAGAGGACGTCCAAAAAAAAAAGATTCCGACACCCTCAGTCAAAATAGTCGTCATTCCAATAGTCAGAATAGACGTCATTCCAATAGTCGAAATAGTCGAAATAGTAAAAGTCCATCCAATAAAAGTATTGGAAGTACGGATGGAATTTCATCCCAAAATAATTCTTCCACCTCCATTCATAGTTCGGGATCATCACAAAGTAATCGTCATCATAAAAAAGTTGGTAATAAAGCAGCGAAACGAAAGAAATCTCGTCGTCAAAATGTATTTGTTAATAAAGAAAATAATGGTGATAATAATAATAATAATAATAATAATAATAATAATAATAACAATAATAAATTGGCGGTGCCAAAAATTGTAGTAAGAAATCCTACACATAAAATAGTTAAAATGCCCAAAAAGAATGTTGTTGTCGATACCGGGAAGTTGGTACCACCACCGCCGATGAATAAAAAGTCGAAAAAGAAAAAAGACGCGGAAATAATCACCGAAGAGGATAAATTATTGGCATCACTTCCATTACCATCAGCTTCAATTCCTCATGTGTTTAATAGAAATCTTAGTATGATTGGATCAATTAATATTCAATCATTCGGTACTAAGAAATCATCAAATAATGTAATCATGCGTATAATTGCTGATATACTTCGACGATATGATATTGTCTTATGTCAGGAAATTCATGAACCGAAAGGGAAAGAAGAAATTATAAAAAAACTTGTTGATTTGGTATCAACACCAAGTAATCCATATTCATATGTTGTTAGTCATCCCATAGGTCGAAATTCATATCAAGAAAGGTATCTTTTCTTATATAAACAACAAGAATGGAAAGTATTAGATGATTATGTTGTTGAAGATGATGTTAAAATGGGAGATAGATTCATTAGGGAACCTTATGTAGTAAGATTTCAACATTTAAGGAAACCCAATGTAAGAGTTACATTGGTCGGATGTCATACGCAACCCGAAAAAGCGTTTGAAGAAATCAAAGTATTAGTTGATGATGTTTATTCGAATGTAAAAAAGAGGATACAAAGGGATACCATACAAGAAAAACGCCAACTTGATCAAGATAGGGCAATAAGTAAAAAGAAAGAAGGAGGAATTTTAAATTATTTGAAACATTATTTATGTTGCTGTTTTGGATCATATTCACCAGTTTCCACTAGGGATTTTACAGAAGAAGAAGAAGGAGGAGGATTAAAATCGAGTGAACCTATAATTATGATGGGAGATTTTAATGCAGCAGGTTCATATGTTAATAAAAAGCAACGGGAAGAATTAGATACTATATTAAAGAAGAATAATTTAATGTGGGGAATTAAACATTCTACGGATACAACAGTAGCAGATGGATCCAAAGCAGCGTATGATCGATTTGTATTTGAAACAAATAATGAACGAAGATGGATTGGTAATACTAGAGTATGGAGATTTGATGAGAGTTGGGAAAATAATGAAAATGTTGATAAAAATGTTGACAAAGATTTCATCAAGAAAGTAGCCAAGCGAGTTACAGATCATTATCCAATTGAATTTGAGTTCAAATTGCAGTAAATTTAAATTTATTATTAAAAAATTTGTATTTTTATATATATATATATATTTTTTGTGAAATATGTATCATATTTATATTATAAAATCTTATTATATTCATTTATAGATTAATTTTAGTTTATTATTGTTATTTTTATTTTTATTAAAGTTATTTTTTATTATTACTATTTTATAATTATTATTATTATTATTATTATTATTATTATAAAAGATAAATTTTTTTTTTAATTTTTTTTTTTTAATAAATTAATAATAATAAATATAACAATCATTATTAATATATTTCACAATCATTATAAATAAATATCACAATCATTATAAATAAATTTCACAAAATAATTATTTCACATTTAATTCTCTCTTTTTAAAAATCAAAATAAAAAAATATTAATGATACAAAATAAAATAAAATAACTATATACTAATTTACACCACCACCTAAAATACAATAAATGTGATATTATTAACAGTTGATGTACGCGCGTGTTTTTTCCGTAAATTAAAATGAATTAAAATAAATTAAAAATTAATTAAAATAATAAACTAAGATAGATAAGTAATTAAATCACATGTCTCAAAAATCCAGCAAATTCAATTGGTTTATTCTTTAAATAAGTGTCCACTAATTGAAAATCATAACCCAGATAATGAGTCCACCATCGAACATATAATGTTTCAAGGGGAGCACTTGTATTCTGTAAAAATAATCTCATCGGAGTTTCACCGATATAAATCCAAATATTTAAATGTCTTAAAGTGGTAGGCATCAAACCTCCTAAATTCCTCCATAATTCTTCATTATCCCATGAAACTTTATCCATTCTAAATATACTTAAACTTTTTAATTGACATACATTGGATGTTAGGATTTCCGCCAAATGACAAATTTGGGATGTTCCTATTGGTACCCCTAACCTTATTATCCAAGGACAATATTGTGATACACATTCAATTATAGAAGGTGTAATTATATTTTGTTCACGTTGATTATCTAATGGTTTATAATAAATTTCTTTTAAATTTGATGGATTATTTTGAATTAATGAAACCATTACAGCATCCCATCCAAAAGTTGATTCAACAATATGAATTTTACGAAGTGAAGGAAATGTCGCATATATTAAAGGTGATAATATTTCTTCATTAGCGAATAAACAATTATTTATAACTAATTCTTCAAGATTTCTACATAATGCCAAACCTTCAAATGATGATGATGGAGAATTTGAATTGGTATTAAAATGAATATAAACGATTTCCACCGAAACCAAAGAATTACATTGTGAACCCAAAGAATTTAAAGTTAAAATTGGATGAGTGGAATAACCAAATAATGAAAAATTTCGTAAATTCTCTTGAATGGTAATTAATGAAGCTAAATTTTGTTCATCTTCAGGATGAGGAGGTAATTCAAAAGAATAACCAATCACATGTAAAGTTTCAATGTTTTTCGCATATTTTGATAAATATCCAAATATTGACCAATCAGTAATATAATGAATTTTGAATTCCTTCAATTGAGCCAAATAAGTATTAATTCCAGCTGAATAAAGTAATAATGGATAAGCTTTCCATATTTCCATATTACCCCAATCAAGAGATAAAGATCTTAAACTTGAACGACGACTAAAGAATAATCTACAAAGTGTTTGATAAACAACTAAACTTGGTTCTGTTGAAAGATGATATCGACTAATAATTTAATTTAGAATAATTTAGAATAATTTAGAAATTAATGATTGGAATGATTTTAAAAATATTTTAAAAAAAAATGATTTAAAAAAAAAATGATTTAACATTTTAATCTTACCGTTTGGGAGTCATAGTTGAAGCATGAGTTCGATCCGTCCATTTCAAAACCACCGTATAAAGATTTCCCATACTAATATGTTTAAGAAAACTAACATAATCAAATATTTGACTTCTTCGTCGGTTTGATACATTAATACCATTATCAATTAAATAGGTTCTTCCCGCTTCCGTTAGACATGACATGTAAATATCAATGATTGATGAGGGGGTGACATCATTAAAAGGTTGAGCCCATAATACCGGAACCGAATTTTCACACCAAAGTTTATTCACCAAGACGCATGATTGTAGGGTTTTTTGATCATCTTCCAAATATGAAAAGATTTCAATTAAACAATCGGCTGGTATTGTATGTCGAAGAAGATTATTTTCAATCATTCCATCGGAAGTAACGTTTGTACGTAATGAAGGAGTTTTGGATCGAACATTATGATGATGATGACGACGACGACAGTGATGTTGATAATAATGTTTAACATTTTTAACATTAAAAACATGTGTTAAATTCCTTTTAATAGCATTGATACGTCGACCCATATTACTCGATAAATTTGGTATAATTTAAAAATGAGTAAAAAAAAATAATAAAATTAAATAAATGAAATTAATGAAAATTAAAACTTGAAACCAAAAAGTGATAGAAAGAAAACGGAAGGTGGTTAAAAGGAATTTTAAAGAGATTTAAAAACGAAATTAGAAAAATCATTTGAGGCGTTTAAGAATTCTTTTTTTGTACGGAATTGTTACACCGATTCCCCACACACGTTTAAATATTTCTGCTAAGAAATTAAGATGATATTGGATTACTGAAATTAGCTAGAACTTTTAAATAAAATAATAAAAGGGTTAGAACGAAATCTGATGTGTAAACATGCGGTCTGTTGATAATTTTATGAATTATATAAAAAAATAAAAAAAAAAAAGGGAACAAAAAAAAAATTCTTCGATCAAGATTATTTAAATAATTATAATAAATAAAGTAAAATTAAATAATGAAAATTAAATAAATAAAAATATAAATAATAATAATAATAATAATAATAAATAAAACAACAAAATAAAATAAAATAATAATAATAATAATAATAATAATAATAATATAATAATTATAATAAATAATGAAACTATTTCAATATTTAAAAGAGATTCGGGAAGAGAAGAGAATAATAAACAATATAATTTATATAATATAATTATATATATCAAAGGCAAAACAAATTGAAAGTAATAATAAAATTAGAATTTGTGCTCCCATACATTATTAGAGTACATTATAGAGAGTAAATTAAAAGATTAAAAGTGCACTTTAAAAAGAAAAGAGGAAATCAAAACAGTGACATAAATGTTCTACGAGGAATACGAGGAAATTTTAGGAAATCTCCAATTGGTAAATAACCGATGAAATAACAATAATAATAATGGAAAATGGAAAATTCATAAAAGAAAAACAGAAGTGTGGATTAGTAAAAACTTTCTAAAAAAATCACATTTCATTTTCCTTTTTTCGCAAATTTCAAAACTGTAATGACTGTTGATGTTTTAGATGCTTTAATGATGATTAAATAAATATTAATAATGTATAAACAGTAAACAATATATAAATATCATTTATACAGTATATTTTATCGATGATTCGTAACTCATTGTTTCAATAGTTAGTAGTTTGAAGTTCTACCTTTTCTACCTTGTGAGACAAACAATTACATAATTCATTATTTCCTTCCTTCACGTGAGTTTCACATAGAAATTGTATTTTTAATTTTTTTTTTCTCAACATTTTTAATTAATATTTCTCATATATCAATATTAAGAAAAAGAAAAAAAAATTAAATGGGTTGTTGTTTTAGTAAGGAAAATGATAGTTCAAAAGTTAGTGTCAATAAAATATTATGTGATATTGATTTAAATTTTATGATTTATTTCTGAAATTTATTAATATATAAATGTCTTTTTGATATAGTCGCCGAATGAAGGATCTCGACTTTTACCTGGACCAGGGGAAAGAGATTCTTACGAGTACATATATATTATATATATTACATTGTTTTTGTTATTAAATCATGTTAATATTCATCACTGTTATTTTATTGTTATTTTTATTGTGTATTTTTTTTTTTTTTTTTATTGTTAAATTTATTATTATTTTATTGTTAGCGGTCCGAGAATGCCATATTCACCAGGTTACGATGCAGATGCAGTACATGAAAGGGAACAAGAATTATTATTAAGAATTGTTCAAAGGACTGCTGAGTATTATTTCGTTCCTCGATTTTATATTTTAAATGATTTATAAATACATATCTATTATTTTATTTGGATATTGATGTGATTTGAATCTTTTTCAACATTTAGGAATCTTATTGATATATCAAATTCTCATTCAATTGAACGTTTACAACAACAAGATGCTATCGATCGTGTCAATGAATATAAGTAAATATTTATTCATTATTTTATTATATTAATTATATTTAAATTACTTCTTATATTGATTTATTTATTTATTATCAATTATTTATCAATTATTTATTAATTATATTAATTTACTTATATTAATTATTTATTATTATTAAATATTATAGTGAAATATTTAACACGATTAAATTAGATAATATGACTCTTCGAAAAATAAAAGAGAATAGTAATAATACAATGCCTAAATTACGGAATAAAAGTTCTATTCAATCAGTATTACAGTCAACAACAACAGCAGAACCAGAAACAAAAATAGAAACATCAACACCTAACGTCAAATCACCGAATAATAATAATTTATCGCCGGATGTTATTTTAAATGGTGGAATTGTAACTAAAGAAGATCAAGATTTGGTAAAATAAATTTATTATTCAATTTTTGTCCAATTTTATTTATTCGATTAAATTATTTTTAATTTATTAAATTATTTTAATTTATTTATTTATTTGTTTATTATTTTAATTTATTTATTTATTTGTTTATTATTTTAATTTAATTTATTTATTTGTTTATTCATTTATTTAATAGTTATTCAAAGCAATGGATGAAATAAATGAAGCAATCGAACATATTGAAATCGATTATGTTGGTGATTTGGTGGTTCCATTAACTTGAACCTATTCCATTGTTATTGCAGTTTGATTTTGTTATGTAAATTAGAATTGTACAATATGATTTATTTGAATGTATTATTTGAAATGTATTTAATGGGAGTGAATAAAAATAATATATTCTGAAATATAAATAATGCAATAAAAATTGAATATTTATTATTAATTTTACATATTTTACAATTATATATGTTAGGAATTATTCTAACATTAAATTAAGATTTTACACATTGAAAAATAAAGAAAAAAACTTGTGTAAAGTAAAAATCTGGTAAAATTGGACTGACATTTTTATTATCTTTGAAAAATTACCAAACGTAATAGCATAAAATTGAATTGGGACATGATTCTAATATTAATATAAACTAATTAGTGAAAATATATGTCATGGTATAATGTTGTTATGTTATTAAAATTCAAAATTTTCAGCGAGTTTTTCACTTCTATCTTTGTAATTTACAGGGGATATAATTAATGAAGAAATAATAATGACAAAAATATTTAATTAATTATGATAATGATATAATAATGACAAAAATAATTATGATAATTAATTATTATGATGATTAATAATGACAAAAATAATTATTATAATAATTAATAAATTGATTTTTATACAAAGAAGGTTAGTTTTGTGTAATATTTGGGTTGACAACAAAAACTAGCCTAAGCATCACACGGGTACTCGTGTTGTTGTCACAAGTTATAATAAATACAAAATTTATATTTATTATAATTATCATCTTTTTTTTTTTTTTAGTTTACACGGATCAATCGTTAAAAAGAAAGTTTTGCCTACACCAAACAATTGCTTAATATAAATTATATAAATTAATTAATTATTAAAAATTAAAGTAATGGTAATTATCATTCATCTAAAAAAATTTACGAAAGTGAGAATAAAGAATATATTGTATGAATTTATATTATAATTAATTATTACTACTTGTATTATTTAAAAAAAAAAAATTGTATTGGGAAATAATTGTTTTTAAGAAATAAAAAAAAAAATATTAAATATTAATTGACATTAAACGATTGAGAAACGGATGCAATCATCTTGAGATCCACGTTTAGCAACAGGCATAACAACAGGTTGATGACTTTCTGATGCAACCATCGTGCAAAGACGATAAAGACCTTTGGTTAAATTTCCTGGAACTATTGCTTCTAATCCTCCTTTACTATCAGCTCGTTCATTTAAACCTTGGAAAAAGTCAAATTTAGTTGGATCAGGAACTCCTTTTCCAATCAATTTTTGAACGGTAACGTGAGCATGTCCCTGGATAACTCCAGCTTTTGTAAGTGTTTGGGGTACGTCGTAGTAATCAGTCTCAGGGTCAGAGAAGAAACCAGTTTGTAAGTTGGAAACCAGAACTCTAATTTTGAAACTTTTTTTGGCAGGGATTTTGGCACCATTTGGAGGAAGCGTAATGATAGTGGAAACCATTTTTGAAACTCCTGGTACTTCACCTAGAAGTTGACTTGAGCATTGTCCTTTTGGGTTTTGTTTTCCATTAGCTTTTATGGGGAATTTTTTACAGATACCAGCTGGTGGAGGAGTTTTATATTTATTAGGTTTTTCTTTTTGGGCTTCGATAAAGTCAAGAGAAACTAAAGCAACGAGAACAACAAGAAGGATAAAGATAGATGATTTCATTACTAATAACGACTATTTTATTAGAAATGCTGAAATGCTATAGTGAAATTGATTGAAATGCAATTGTGATATCAAGGAATAATAAATCTCTTGTTTAAATATAAAAATTAAGAGTTAATGACAGATACTAATAATTGTACTTCAAAATTTACTCTATTCTCCTTTCTTCGTTTCGGTTTATTTAACTAATTCCCGTATATAAAACCCACTTATTTTAAATAAATTCAATTTATTAAAATTAATTTGATAGAAAGTAATTTAAGAATATTAGAAAATATTCGATCTATCCAATTTTGTCATTTCATTCTTTTGTCTCATTAATAAATTATCAGAAGGAGAAATGCTCGTTCAAATAATCAAATAGCAAATTATTTTATAAATTTAGAAAAAAACTTGGTAAACATATGATGAATAAATTTTTTTATAACAATTGAAAATTTATTATTTATTTAACTCAATTGAATTTCCGATCCGTGAAAATCAGCCATATGGGGTTTTTTACAAATTTGTATTTCAATAATATAAAATACTATATAAATAATGACCTTTTATGGAAATGGGGAAAATGAATAATCATCATTTAATAGATAATCCATAAATCAACTGAGTAACATATATTGCTAAATGAAATACTCTATCCCACTAGGGACGCATGTCAAGACCATACTGAATATAAAATTTATTTATTTTAATTTATAAAAAATTTTTAATATCATTTTCTTTTAATTTTTTAATTTCTCATACATTTTCTACGTCTTCTAATCCAGTGATAATCATTTCTTGTTTAGGATCAAGTAAATTTAAAGCTAATTTAGCTGAATTAACCACACAATCATTTATGCTTACACCTAAATAACTAGATCCACCAACGCTTAATCTATTCTTAAACTCTTTCTTAATGACATTATGTAATTCCCGAATTCTTGAATGATGACCGACATAATATTGGGGAATACATTTTCTTTGTAATTTTACCTGATATTCTACTGGGGTGGCATAAATTCCTAATACATTTTCTAATGTTTGCAATGAATGATTTAATAATTGTTCCTCATTAAATAATAATTCTTCTTCTCCTCCTTCTTTTCGTAATGAATTATAATAATAATGACCTCCAAGCATTAAAGTTACTTTTGTATAATCGGTTTTTGGATAATCTTGAAGTGGCATAGCATCTGAATCAAATACAATTCCAAGAACGTGATAAGGATTATTTGGGGTTACTTGAGGAATCAAAACTCCAAATCCTTTTACGGGTAATAAATTTGGTCGATTATAAGCAATATTAACAACTCCCACTGTAACAAAAGGATTATATTCAAGATGAGGTAATACAGGAATTAGTTTTTTCAATTCATACGCTGGAATAGTGCTTATAACGTGATCCCCTTTGAAATTTCCATTATTTGTTATTATCTCAATTTCATTCTCTTCCTCCTTAAATTTTAATTCTTTGACATTAGTTAAAGTCTTGAGTTCCACGTTTGATCTAGTTTTTAAATCTTCTACAAGTGCCAATACTAATTGTTCAATTCCATCTTTAAAAGAATAAAGACTTGAATTTTTTATAGTATTCATTAAATCTTTATTATCTCTATTTATATCTTGAATCCAATTTAAATCCTTGGTGGATAAAAATGAATTTTTACTAAATGATCCCTTCAATATTGATCCATATAATTTTTCCATTTTATATAAATTTGTAAATGTTGATTTTATTGAAAGTTTTTTTATATCTCCCGCATAGATACCATGTACAATTGCACTTATTAATATATTAGCTATTTTTTCATTTAATCGTCTGGTTATAAAACTGTGAATACTTTCATCTTCCTCTAAACATTTTTCGACAAATGGTTCTCGTATGATGGCAGGTATTGATTCCAATAAAAATCTGGTACTTAAAATTGGTTTCATTCCTGAAAAGAAATTAGAACCTGGTAATTTTACAAGTTTATCCGGGTAGAATATATATCGATTTTGTGCTGCTGGGGAATTCTTTGGAATTGCATGAATGGATTCTCTTAAATTCAATTTATTTGCCTAGTTATTTAGTGTCAAAATAGAGATATATAGATTATATATTTTAGTACAAAGAAATAAGAAAAGATAAAATAATCTTTATAAAAGATGTTAACATTTTAATACATTCAAATATTTTTAAACATATACCATATCCAAAACCACAAGTCCACCTAACCCGAAAGGTCTTAAAGTTCTTGGACCTTGCTCAAAAAGTATTTTATCTTTACCAATACGTGTACTTTCTATCCATCCTCCAAACCTTTTAGAAGCTTCTAAGATAGTAATTTTTGTTGTCAATGGAGCATTCTGTGCTAAATACCATGCTGCGGTTAAACCTGATATGCCTCCTCCCAAAATCAAAAAATTTTGTGGAGACATTTTTTTTTACTGTGGCTTAAAAAATCTTCAGATAGGATAAAAAAATAAATTTCTATAGGCGTTCAAATGATCATTCTAATAATTATATAATTATATTTTGATTGTCGAAATAATTTCGTGATTAAAAAATCAAGTTTATCAATGTTTTGCTCGTTCGTTGGATTTTCTTTTAATGCATGTATTATTTAAACGCACATATTATACTTATTAAATCTTTGTTATTATCGTTTTAAGTCTTTCGAATTCAGGAACAGCGCATCTTTTAATTTTTCTTTTATGCAAATCAACAGTCTTAAACTTAAAACAATTGCAAGTTTTGCCCAAAGCAAAAATCTAGTTTCACCCATTTATTGTTATCCCAAATCATTAGTGCAAAGCCTTGATACTCCTGAAGAATTTCAAACATTATTGACTTCACAACTCGTCTATGAAAAACAAAACAGCCTCAGAACCATAAAACGTGAAAATGTAGTGTGCAAGAGTCTCAAGTGACATTAAAGATCGACTGCAAAACACAAAATGGGCTTGCAAAGTAAAAGTTATTGTTACACACACAAAGACACCAGGTAATTTTTTAAAATGACAAGTAAACTATACAAATCATCAAAACTATTGAATTGAGTCAGACACAATTAAAAATTGAAAAAATTGGAATTGAGTCATGTGAAATTTTCATTTTTTACATAGTAAATTGATACAATTATTAAGTCAGACACAATTAAAAATTGAAAAAAATTAAAATAGAGTCAAAGGCTTTTTACATTTGACAACATAAACAATAAAGATTTGCAAGTTTATAGGTAAATTTCCAGAGAAACACTAGTCAAATACAAAAGAATCACTGTACTGAATGGTGATTCTTATATTAAAAATTGGAATTCCTATACTATAGATCAGCTAAAAATCAATAAAAATTGACTGTCCTATTGCATCCTATATTGTAAATCAGCTAAAATCAGAATTCCTTTTTAGTACAGCATATCTTTTGTATTTGATCTATGAAATTTTTGATAATAACTTTAGTAAAAACTTTATTATATTAAAATTTGTATTTATTTATAATATCTTAGTGACATCACTAAGGTTGCTAGGTAAACCCTAGTTTTGCTGATTCAGAAAACTGACAAAAGGTAAAACTTTAATGAAACCATTAAATACTTATTAATAAGTTAAGTATAACTTGTTGAAAGTTGAAACTATAACAAATACATATAACTGGTGAAACTATATTAAATTATAGTAAAAATTTTGGAAAAAATAGGTTTTACCTTTTGCCAAATTGCAAAATAGGTTTTGCCAGGCTATATTAGATATCACTAAGATATTATTTTTTATCTTTTTAATATTACCAGAATATTTTTTGAAATTCTTATAATAATTGTAAAAATTTTAAAAAAACAAAAACTTTAAATTACACCAGTGATATTGAACACCTTATTCTATACCATAGAAATTAGGGTTAGGGTTTTCAGGGGTAGTGTATTTATCATCATATGTCATATCCTTTGAATAGCTTCTTAGCTTTTTCTTTGTAGTTCATATCTAATTTCTTGACAGTTATAAAGAGTATATAAATCAAAAAAGTAATTTATAAGAGTGAAAAAAATAAGAATTTACTTTTAAAAATTATAAGCAAAATCTTTGATATAAATGTTGATAATTTTAAGGAAATGTGTACAAAATTTTATTCATCTTTTTTATAGAATTCATATTTTATTTTATATCTTTTTAACTTTGAAAAAATATAATTACAGTTAATATTCAATATAAGAAAATAACTATTAAAATTTGTTGTAAAGTAAGTTAACTATACATATTTTTATTATTTAAAAGAAGTATAAAAATATTAATATATTTATATTTATATAGTATGATATCTTTAGAAGAAAATTCATCTAATAATAAAAGAAGTGGATATCTATTTACAGATATTTGGAAGACTCATATGACTAAAGGAGCTAAACAATCAAAAAGACATTATTTTGCAACCTGTACCTATTGTCAACAATTTTGGAAACAAGGAAAACTTCAAGTTCTTTATGGACATTTAGCTAATTGTTGTAAAAAATATTCAAAATAAGTATCTTTACATTATACCAGAATTGTGAATAAAGTAATTGGGGAAAAAGATATTGAAAGTTCAAATAATGATAATTGACAATAATGCTAATAATAATGATGATAATAATAGTGATGATAATGATTCAAATCTTAATTAAAAAATAAATTAAATAAGAATTAAACATCTATTGCTAATTTTTTTGAAGCTAAAAAATTGAAGTAAGAATTAATGATAAAAATAAAAGCATTTGCAATGTGTAATATTCAATTTAGTGTAATTGAAAATTTATGGTTTATTAATATGATCAAATCACTTCTACCAACATATGATTCTCCTTCATGTCATATATTGGATAGTACTTTATTACAATTTGAATTGGCTAGAATAAATATATTAACAATAAATGAATTAGAAAAGAAAAATAATTTTACAATAGGTAAGATTTTTATTTAATATTTTAGTTATATAATTTATAATAATTATATTTATTTAGATGAATGGACAGATCCTAGAGGAAATAGTATTTGGACTTTTATATTAATAACTTTTTCATGAAAAGAATATTTTCTAAAATTAGAAAATCTTTCAAGTGAACATTATACAGCTCAGAATTTGGATAATGTTATTATTGAAGTTATTGAAAAAGTTGAAATCAACAAATTTATTGCAATTGTGTCAGACAATAGATCAAATATTACTGCTGCCTGATAAATTTTTACAGAAAAATTTTCAACAGTTATCAATGTACAATATATGGCACATTGCATTAATTTAATTAGTTCAGATATTGTAAAAATAGATCAAGTAAAATATCTAATCAAATGTTCCAATATTTGATAAAATATTTCAAAAATTCTAGTATTGACATGATACTACTTAAAGACACAATTGAACTAAAAGGAATACAAGGTAAAGGTTTAAAAAACTTATACAGAAACATATTAATACTAGTCAAATACAAAAGAACCATTATATTGAATGGTGATTTTTATACTATAGATCAGCTAAAAATTAATAACAATCAACTATCCTATTATATCTTATATTATAAATTAGCTAAAATTGGAATTCCTTTTTGATACAGCATATCTTTTGTATTTGACCTGTGTAAATTTCAGTATATTAATGTGATCATCAATCTGGAGATTAAAAGATGCTTTACAATATGTAATACAGGTCAAATACAAAAAAATATGCTGTACTGAAAAGGAAGTTAATTTGTAATATAGGATGCAATAGGATGATCAATTTTTTCTGATTTTTAGCTAATTTATAATATAAGAATCACTATTCAGTATATCTCTTTTGTATTCAACTAGTGTAAGTATTTTTAATACTATTATTTTAAATATTGATTATAATTATTTATTTAAACATTTTATTTATTTAAACATTTTATTTATTTAAACATTTTATTTATTTAGATTTTGAATCAATATGAAATGGAAATTACAAATATTTTTATTAAAAATATTTTTAAAAAAAGAAGTTTTTTGATGATATTTGAATTGTATTAGAAATTTTAAAACCTATTCATGATTTAATTTTAATCTTGAAAAGAAATAATACAATATTAGTTAATTGCTATTTGCAACTTCTTCAAATAGCATATTTTTTTAAAAACATTTTAAAAATATTTATAAAACATTAAAAATTTCATGTATTAAAGTCTTTAATAAAAGATAATTTTAATTAATTATTTTAATTTTTTTATTATATTTTAAATATTAATTATTTAAATTTATTTTTTTAGATCTAATGAATTTAATAATAATATTTACTTATTAAACCCCTTTCTCCACCTACAATTCAAAAGTAATTATATTAATTTTTATAAAAATAACATAATTTTTAATTTATTAATTTTATATTTATTTTAATTAGGATTTAAAATTTTTAACTTAAAATTTGATCAAATTTAAATAACAGGTTTAAAAATTTGGAAAAACTTAAGACACAAGAAATTATCAGGACAAGAACTATATACTCAATTTCAAAAATTCTTGAATCACAGTAAATCCTATAATACTGTTTATTTTTCAAAACTTGATGTACCATATATATGGTGATGTTAACTGAGATTTATTTTCAAAAGAATTTAATAAACTATTAACTAAAAGTAGAGAAAATATATATTGCTAAAATTAAAACAACTATATTAAATATGCTATTATTGGATAAGTTATACTATAAAGAAAGTATAAATATAAAGGTTTTGTTATTACAGATTTACTCGAAAGAAGATAAAAGAAGTATATTAAAACATTGCATTTTAGTATGTTATAAATATGAAACATTCACTAGAATATTACATTCTAGTATGCTATAAGTATAAAACATTTAAATAACATATTAAAACGTTGTATTCTAGTATGTTATAAGTACAAAATGTTTAAATAATATACTAGAATGTTATAAGTACAAAGTATTCAAATAATATACTAGAACATTGTGTTCTAGTATGTTAGTACCATTCAAATAATAATATAAAATGGTGTTTATATAGTGTTATAGAATGTTTTTGTTTAATTTCTGATATGATGAAGATTAGAATCCTGAAGAAATTGGAAATAATAATTATAGTGATAATAAAAATTAATATTATTAATGAATTAATATATGAACCTTTTAATTTTTTTTTATTTTAATTATTAAATATTAATAAATAATATAATAAATAAAGTTTTAATTACAAAATGAATTTAAAAATTGATTTTACAATTTTTATTACTCTGTAAATATTAACTAAAAAATAATACAAATTTGTAAAAAATAATGTAAATTTAATATATAAATTATAAATTATTTATTAAATTTTTTAAAACTAAATAATTTTATAATTCTCTATTATATATTTCCACTTTTATTATTATCCACTATATTTATTATATTTATTTATATTGTTTATTTGATTCTCCATTATCATCTAATTATATTACTATTTATTTTTTTTTTACTTTCCTCTTCATCATTCTTTTTATCCTCTTCATCATACTCTTTATCTTCTTTCTCTTTTATCTTTCTTTCTTATTTTCTTTTTCATTCTCTTCTTTATCCTCTTCATTGTCTATTTTTAATTTTTTTATTTTTCTGTACTTTGGATATCTATAATTTTAGTAGTATTACCTTTTATTTTTTTTAATTTCTTTTCTTTTGTTCTTTTCTCTAACTCTTTATTCTGATACTTCCCTTTCTATTTCCTTTTCTTCTTCTCTTTCTCCCTTCCCTCCCTTCTCTTATGACCCTTCCCTTATGACCCTTCCCTTTCTTTCTTTCTTTCTTTCTTCTCTTCCTTTTCAAAAGCATCTGTGACCTTTTGTAACTGTAATAATAATATATAAGAAAAAATGAAAAAAGTTATCCATTTTGATAGCATATACTTGGAACATATATCTGAAAATAACGTGTTCAAAAATTTTACTTTGGTAAGCCACCAGGTAAAGATAACAATTTGATATTACATGTTTCAGATGTGATATATTTTTGAACTATTAAGGTATAGCCTATGGTTATGAAGTAATTAATACAGAAATATATATGTTATAAATTTATACTTTGATAGAGTACCAAGTGAATATAATTTCAAATAAAAAAAGTAGATCACCAAAATAAATTATTACAGATAAAAGACATATAAAAAATTATACTTTGATAGATCACCAAGTGGAATGCCAAATAAGTAATATTTTTGAGTAAAAAAAGTGTGACACCAAGAAATAATTATTACAGATATATATAATATAAAATTATGCTTTGGTGAGTTACCAAATAAATGATAACAATTTGGTACTATATGTCTTATCCTTAATTGATATTCAAATACACTATAACAGTTAATAATTCAATACTGCATGTCTCATCCTCTATTAATATTTAAGTGCATTATAACAGATAGCAATTTGGACTATGTGTCTTAATCTTGATCAGTATTCAAGTTCATTATATAAAGATCATAAATATTATTTCAGCACTGTGTACTTTAACTCTGGTTCTCATAGAGAAATTAACCAGAAAGTTAGAGCACTACATGTCAAGTTTGGACATAGTCCTCATATTAGGTATAGCCTTTATATTGGACTTACAAATGATGATAAATGTGTAACAGTTTCGACTACATCGTAACTTACGTAGTTGACGAGTGACAACTCCTACCTATTTCATTTATTTTATTTTACTTTTATTTTATTATTTTA